TCAGCTGGCCCCGCCCGTTGTGCAAGGCAGCTCACCTTTGTCCATTGAGCGTGTGTGTTTTGGTGGATACCATTTTCACATTCAAAGGGAAGCCAAAGAACAGCCACCAATTTTGGCATCTCGTTCCAGCTTACATGGTTAGTCAACATTCCCAAACGTTAGCCGTTTAGGACCTGTTGGTGGGTTTTCCTCCTAGTCCATTGGTATTTTGGCTCCTGGAGATCTTGTAAGTCTAAAGTACCGCGCCTGCCACGAAATCCAGCTTGAGCATGCAGAAAGTACAGTGAGTGAATGGTGAATGAGTGTGAGATTAGGTGAGTGAATGAGTGATCTCAATGAGGTGAGATGAGGTGAGATGAGGTGAGATGAGGTGAGTGAGTGGGTGAGTTGAGTTGAGTTGAGTTGAGTTGAGTCGAGTCGAGTCGAGTCGAGTCGAGTCGAGTCGAGTCGAGTCGAGTCGAGTCGAGTCGAGTCGAGTCGAGTGAGTGAGTGAGTGAGGTGAGGTGAAGGAGAGAGCGAGCCAGCAAGCCAGCCAGCGAGTGAATGAGGGAGTATGTGCGAGTGTGTGTGTGTGAGTTTGTGCATCATAATGTTACACCTCCTTTATTAATAGTCCACTCTATTGTAGCATTTGTGTTTTCGGAATTCAGGATCTTGTGACTGTTTTGGGGTCCTCAATTGCAGCAATTATTCCCCCCCCCCCCAAAAAAAACAAAAAAACAAAACAAAAACAGAAAAAAAGGCTCTTTTTTTTTTACTCTGTTGATCTTGTCTAGGGCTAAGCCTCCGACAGAATATGGGCCAAACAAACTTGGCAAAGAAGTCGAGCAAAAAAAACCGAGCAAACAAATCCGGGCAAACAGGATCTTTTGAAGTGGTCCCCAAACCATCGAATTTAAGATAACTTCGATACAAAAAAGTGCGGGCAAACAGTCACACAAAAGGGGGTGCCCACCAGGGGCCCTGATCCTCTTTTAATGTGACTGTTTTGGGGTTCTTTTTAGTGTCCAACGGCTTTTTGGGTCGCTGAAATTATTAGACTCAAGCCTTAGGCTTTTACTTTTAGGGCGGTTCACCCAACCAAGCTCTTCCCAGCTCAAAGGGTAAAGGCCTTGGATCTAGGAAGTTCATTTTGCCAGTGGCCCCCAAACCATCAAATTTAAGATTACTTCCTTACACAAAAGTGCGGGCACACAGTCACACAAAGGGGGCTGCCCACCAAGCGGCCGTGATCCTCTTTAATGCGACTGTTTTGGGGTCCTCTTTAGTGTCTAACCGGTTTGGGGGTTGCTGAAGAGCAAAAAGTCCTTGGCAATACTAAAGTAGAATTGGCAATACTACAGTAAGTGCTAGGAATCTGACCCGCAATACTAAAGTAGAATTGGCAATACTCAAGTAAGAAGAAGCATTGCTCAAGGTTTATAATGTTTGTATTTGAGGCGGTGGCATGGAAGGCAAGATTGTGGGCACAAAAGTTGGCTTGACGCTCCTGCTTCCCCATGAAAATCTAGACCATGGGTGTATTCAGCACATCAGGGTGTCGATTCCCACCATTACACATTGCCCAATGCTTTGCCGTTTATTTCGACATTTGGACGTTCCTTGTATAGCTGGACTAAATCATTTGCCGGCACTCGCCGCTACATCTCGCCCGGACGCATGCTTTTCCTTCGAGACTTGCCGTTTCGACGGTGCTGGTTCGCAAACGTCCGGGCGGGGAGACCCTACGAAGGGGACTTGTTTGCAGCAAACTGGTGAGATGGCAGCGTTCAGATTTAAATGGTGCTACCATGATCATGAAGTAAGTTGGTTTCATAGTGCCCCATTCTAGTGAATTGGGCCCCTAGAGTAACCCTGCATCCAAAATAGACAACAAATGGAAACCGAAGGCAGGCAATTTGTGTTTTTGCCAGACCCCCTATTTCACACCCGGACCTTGTGCAGGGGCTTTGACTCCTGCCGCCTTAGGATGCCGACACGGTGAACTTCCAATGTGAGGGCTCGGACGACCGCATCGCGGACTTCGACCCTGACCTGCAAGTTGACATGAACTCGTAAACGCCCTGGTCAGCGGATTTTCTTTTGGGGACCCCCTTTTTGCAAATGAATGTGGTTATATTGTTTGAGAGTTGGAGGCACCTCAAAATTGGTAAACATGACTTTTCACAGAATACTGATGTCCACCAAAAAGGTACCCGATTAAAATCCATACCCTGAGCAGGGGTGCCCCAACACGGGAATCCGCGCAACGTGATTGTTGTCGGGTTCCATGTTTGCTGAAAAATCGACTCAGTGGTTCAGTTGGGGTGGGACGCTGGTTTTGCCCGCCTGTGGTGTCACATTGCTACCACCCGCAGATCAGATCCCAGTGAATCACCCCTCTGGTAACCAGCCAAACATCAAAGTCCATTTGGTCAAAAGGTGGTTCCCTTGGTTACCCAGACAGGGAAATTGAATCACCTTGGTTTTGGGATGAACACCTCTAGACCGTGAGCCCGTTCCAAAAGAAGGTCAAATTCCAAAGCGGCATGTGCGGCATGTACACCAAGCCATGTTTGTTGATAGAGTATCTCTTATCACTTGTTTCAGCCGCCCTGTGCAAAAACACAAACCCTTTAGTGTTTTTTGTGGCCAGCTCAAAGATGCAGGATTTGCGCCCAGGAATGTGCCACTTGCTTTTACATGTGCTCCTTCGAGGAGATGTTTGGAATTATGTCTGACCGTTGAACTTTGTCCTTTCAACAGGGGTAGCCGCTAAGTGCGGAAAAATGTGGTTTATCTTGTCTTGCCTGTAAAAGGACCGCACGACAGCTTAGGTGGTCCTACTACAGTCTGGACCCAACAGTCATGGGGTTTTGGGCAAAATTCAGGACCTGAAGCTGATGCAGATCGAGAGTGAGCACATGGAGATTCCGGAGCAGCCACTTGGCTCTGATTTGACAGGGCCGAAGTTGCTTCGAAGGGTGCCATGCTCCGCAAAGCCGTGGTTTAGCAGCTATTCTTGGAACAATCTGATGGCTTTCTTTTAGAGGGGAGCCAGGGTCCGGTTTAAAGACATGTTGCATGGTTCGAAGGCCTTTGAACACGGCCCCATCCATTGGCCAAGAGATCTGTCGAACGTCCATGGTCAACCGTGATTTGTCTCAACTCATGGGACCACCGGAGGTTTGGAGCTGATGTCCACCCCCCCCCCCCCCCCCCAAATCAGAGGGTCCCATCTCCACATTAAACCCCCCGCCCTGGCGATCGCTACACACGTCGGCACCACAAGGGTGGATCTGATTTTGAGAAGGCAAGGAGGGTTGAGGGGAAATGGGGGAACTTGCGACACCAACGGATGTCAGGGTATCGAGTTTCACATTCGCAAGCACCGGAACTACCAGCAGGGCACGGCTCCTTATGTGGGTGTGTCGTTTTTGGGTAACCCCCCGAAATCGTGGTGTTCTTTTTGGTTGGCCCCTAAAACCAGAAAGAACAACAAAACAAGAAACAGGGGTAAATACCCTCAAAAGAAACCACACCCATATACATATGGTTTTAATATACGAATCCATTTATATATATATACATACACAGACTGTGTATATGTATATTATTATAGTTACGAACATATACATACATATATATATATATACACAATGTATATATATATATATGTTTGGTGATTTGAAACATTGCGGTGTCAGAGAGAAAATGCCCTCGAGAAATCTGGCACGCGAAGGCACTACAAGGTGGTGGCGCATTTGCCCTCGGCAGAGTTCCAGAAGATCTGTCGGGACTTGCGGCTCGGTATATGGCAACTTCTGCCGGAGTTATTTTTTTGCCGAGGGCTGATGTCCAAAAAGTTAAAGTAGTGAATAGGGGATTGGACCTTCTGGGTTGGCCTCATATATTGTTTTTGCTTTTTGTTTTTTTGGGAGGCTGCTCTTAAATGGAAACCAAAGCGGCCATTTCGGGGGTTCCCCCGCTAATGATTTTGAGACAAACCCATTTGGCTTCCTCTTGTGGGCTTGAAGCCCCAGCCGCGGCCTGGGGTCCACCCGCCCCCAACGTTTTGCGGGAAAAAATGCAGGTTTGCCTATTGGTTTTATTATACGTTGTGCTGTTTCATCTCATTGTGATTGTTTCATCTCGGCTTTTCAGAATTTCATGGTGGTGTCTGGTTCTCTCACCCGCCACTGGCTGTTTGCTCGGAGGAAGGAGTTTGGAGAGACGATTCAGATCAGCGCCAGCAAGGAGCACCAAGAAGAGAGTCACTTGAGCAGCGCCCAAAACCCCTGTTGCCCATTTTAGTAGGTGCTTCCACTACCTGACCTGGTTTACTTGGGTTTATAGCAAGTCCAACAGAAAACTGTTTTGACCATCTTAGTAGAACCCAAAGTCAATTGGTTTTGTGCGCCGCTCACTCGTCTAAAGATGCTTTGTGACTCGAGGTTCAAAAGGGTTCCCGAGTCACATGTACCAATTGCTCTTGGATTGGGGGCCTCAGGGAAGCTATGGGATTATACCTTCCTCAATGAACAAACGGGCAGGGGGAAGTCACCCGATGCTAAATGCCCATCTCAGATAGGATGCAGATTCTACTCCCAGAGGCTCGCTTTGCAATTTAAGGAGTGATGTTTTTTTGGGAGTCGACAAAAAGGGCCCACATCCACGAACACATGACCTATGACCGTGCTTGAACCGTTTGGGCACCAAGTTCTGGTCACCCTGTTCAGGCCTTCCTCAACCAGGCCGCCTTTGTTTGCTTTCGAAGGAGGTCATAAAGCCAGCACACCTCTCCCCGGACATTTTTAGTGTGTGTGCATGTGCACTTGTGCGTGCGTTCAATTGATGTTCAACACACAATCCCCAAATACAGCCCGTGGGAGGACTACGTTAAAACGCCAAAACTAATTAATTGTTTTCCGGGCACCAAGCCAACGCCCGCCCCCTTGGCCCCGAAGCTGAACCAAAACTGTATGTGAATTTGGGCCCTCCCGCAGGAAGGTCTGAAGTTCATGGTGCAAGGGGACCTGGGCAGTGGCAACGTGGTGCTCAAGCCGCGGCAGGGAGACAAGCCTGAGGAGCGATCACCGGTGGGTGTCGGAAGGGTCCTTAGGGTACCTGGTCCTTGTTGAGAGTTATGCACTTTTCGAGGGCTGTTACATGGTATTGCCGCTTGAAAGATAAATCTGTTTGGGCGCTCCAGGGTTCAAGACAGAGTTTCCTCCATAGTTCACTTGCCCAGATCTGAGGCTCAACATGCTTTTAGTGGGAGGGGACCTATTTAGCCCCAAATTCATTCCCTCCGCGTAAGGAGACGGTGAGTCTGACTGTGCACGAGCCCGTGTCCGCCACCTTCGCGCTGCGCTACTTGGTGAACTTTGCCAAGGCGGATAAGATGGCGTTGTGGTGGGTTCCCTCGGACCCAAAAGTGTGGCTTCGAATTTCCGTGTCCCGTTGTTCGAGGACCCGCTTGCAAGTTGTTTGGTGTTGAGATGTATTAATGGAATCCTGATGGGAGTGCATAGATGTTCCCTGAAAGGAAAGTAGTATTGCAGCTTCCGATCAGCTTCCATTGTTGGAGGGAGGGTCAATTCCTGATTTCATGTTCCCGAGAACCAAAAGTTGGCGGTGAGTTTTTCATGTTTCCAGCCTCCATTTGGCCCCCGGGTTGGGGAGTTTCAAACTTGATGCCCCAAATCTCCAATAGGTGTTGCTGTGTTTTTCAGGCCCCAAGGGGGCAAGGTTAGAATTACATGGATCTCAGCCTTGTTTCTGACTATTTTGGAACTTGTGAGGCAATGCAACAAGGGCTCTCGTACGGAATGGACGGTTTATTCAGAGGTCATTTGAGTCATTGGAGGCTTGAGACTTGAGTGGCAATGACGAATCATCCAAAGTTGCCCATTGTTGTTTTTTGTTTTTGTTTCCCCCCCCGCAGTTTGCGTTTATCTTATCACCTCTTAATTTGTGTTTTCGATTGGTTTGTGGGTTTCCCTAGGCCCAATTCTTCTTGTTTAGGGGAAACTACCCTCGGAACACCGCCTATCTTAGCTTCCTGTTTGAGGGATGCTGAGTTCCTGTGCAGGGGGGGGTGTTGGACCCTGCCCCCACGAAAGTCACCAACTTGAAGGCTGATCAGAAAGCCCATCATTGGCGAAGTTCGTGGGTGGGGAAAGACGTTCATGCAGGCTCCGAGAAAGAAACAGAAAGAAGATGTCCCTGGCATGGACCCCCGTGCCCAGAGATGGTATCGTCGTTCATCTGTTTTGTTCGACAACCCTAAAAAAAGGCGCACAAAAAAACACACCATACAAATAGCATGATCCATTTGGATTGGCACAACATGGGCAAGCCTTTTTTGTTTAAGTTCTCCGCAGATCAACCCCCAAAGCAGAATGCGGCGCCTGCCCCTGTTTTATGCAGATAAAGCAGCTAGCAGAGCAGCCGAGCATCCCACCAAGAAAGTCAGGCAACTCTTATATCATAGCTTATATTGCTATAGTTGGTTTGCATTAGTTTGGAAATTCGAGCTTCTTATTGTAGAGGGAAATTGGGTTTTCCACCCCTGCAAAACCACCGGCTCCAACCCACCCTTTTCGAGGGTAGGGAAAGGGTTCCCTTCTGGGGTCAACTCCTTCCGCCTTTTCGGGGCCGTGGCAACGGCCAGGCGGAGAAGCTGTGCGGCTCTGTGGAGCTGGGGCTCGGCCCAGACGCGCCATTGCTGGTGAAGTACTCCCTGGAGAGCGCGGACAAGGGCCACATGCAGCCCCTGGGCCCAAGTCACGGAGCACCTTTCGTGTCTTTTGTAGCACCCCAAAACGGGATTCGTGTCCTCTGGGTTTCCTGAAAACATACCACACACCAACAGGGTACCCTCGAAAAAAAGACACACCCATGCGTGCGTTTGTTTGTGTCTTGGGTGATTTAATGGCTTTTCTTTGGTTTTCAAGGGAAGCTGCGAAGACTCCAGCGATACATATCCCGTGTTGCAAACGGATTTTGTTTCCGGGCCCCAGAAATTGAACCTTTCTTTCACTTGAGTTATCACAAGCTTAGAATTGGGGACAGCCCCCTTGCAGCCTTTGCTCCACCGGCCGCGAGCCAGGAGTTGTCCCGGAGAAAAAGGTCAACTTGTGACTCCTTGCCATGGCTTTGGGCCTTGAGGCTTTAAACTCAAGGTTCGAGTGCGGCTTGCTCCGGCTGGACACTTACTTGTGGGGCCCTGTTTGGAGCCTGAGTCGAGGTGTCTACCGGGGTCCCTCGTCCCATCTTTCGTGAAATTCAAGCTGCCGCAGTTGAGGAGCAACCCATATGTGTGATACCTTTAGAAGAGAGATGTTTCTTTGTTTCGCCATTGGGTATCCAGGTTGTTGCTTGCTGTCCCGCACGAATGAACAGAGAAAAACAAAAACGAAGCAAGCAAGCCGAATCTGTGGTGTACCGCACGGGTGCTGTCTTTGCGCAGTCCTGATACACATCACTGAATAAGCAACTCGCAACCAAGAGAAATGAGGTGTTTCGTTCATACACCCATTCTCTAGTGATTTGCCTATACAACCCTTCTATGTTTTCCGCGCCGGGTTTGGCTCCGATTACTGGGGCTCCTGGCTTGCACCTAGCCCCCGTTTTTGAATGGACGAATCCTTACTCAGCCCTTTGACTCATTTGAGCAGCGCTGAACATCTTGTTGGCCACTTTAGTAGGTTGTGCACTCTATGGTAACGCTTATGTAAACCTTTTTCACTATGTTGGTAGAAGCAAAAGTCAATGGTCATTTGGCAAAGTCGTTTTGTCAGAGCTGAAGGTTTTACCTGGCGCCGAAGATCGACGAGTAGAAGTGGACGCCGCGATGGGCGCATGCGGGCGCATTGCGCTGTGGGGAAGCAAGGGGTTTGAGGGAACACTGAGAAGGGGGAGAATCGCGTTTCACGCATTCAAATGCAATATGTATCCTTTGGATTTTTTCTTGTGAGGAGCCTGTCTTGCTGGTTTGTGTGGTTGTTCTCAAGCGCCCCTTTCTCGGTCGTGAGACAACACTGCGAGGGGTTCGCTGCAGTGTTTGGACACCGAGCTGGACGAAGCGTTGCGCCAAAAAGTTGCGGAGCGGGCTGCTGCGTAAGATCTAACGTACTTAGCCCACTCCTAAATCAAGGGCAAATGGGACACATGGGGTAGGGCCATCCAGCACTACACCAAAAGCCACCCATACAGATGGCCCATGGGTGGGGTAGGTCCATTTGGGGTCTGTGAGTAGGGTCTGAAATAAGAAGATCATCACACAAGGGTAGAAATTCAGTTTGTTTGCTTTTGGCTTCCCTTCACCAAAAGACCAAGGGTCTACCTCGCCAGGTCTTCGCGGCAACCCTGTTGCTGTATCATTCGCTATGCCGGGTACTTTCCTGTTTGTTCCAGATCCAATTTGACACCCGGAGAAAAGGACATGGCACGGGGCACACTGTCCAGATCGGAAATGGAGGTTGCGCCTCAACATCAATGTGGATATCGCGCTCCTTGATAACCCCCTTCTTTTCTGGAAGCTCTCAGAAAGACTTCAATTGGGTCTTACTTGGGGGCAGGGGGGATGGGGCAAACACAACGAAGCAATGGGCGTCACAAGATTATGAAAGCAGGGTTTACCCGTTTTTTTTTGTGCTGAAAAGCGCCAGGCCAAGAATCAAACAGACGGATGTCAACATCGAACTGTATGGTGGCAACGGGTCTTCACGGGACCTAAGCCAAAGATTGGGATTGGTTCAGAGGGGGCAAGATCCAGTGAGCCTATTTCACATGCCCACACAATAAGCAGCTTCCTGTAGGAGATGGTCGGGCCTATGTTTGATGACCCCCAAAGGTTACTGCCCTGCAAATTGACATGGAATCCAAAAGGGCGCCGGGATGAGGGGTGGGGGTTCGGTAAAGGCGCTGCGTGACCTCCAAACGGAAATCTGTGAGGCCCTTTCCAGCCCCTTCAATGCTCCCTCCCATAAACATAGTAGCCTTGGGAGGATTCTTGGACGATCAAGGTAGTTTTCCCGGTCCTTTCTAGTCAAGTGGATGGGCAAGATCCATTCGGACCAGGGACGGATGAAACCGGTGAATACTGGAGGCAAGCATTTGGGGGATTTGGTCCGTCCAGTCCCACAGGATTAGCCTTTTTCTGGTGCATCACCGGAACCGGCTAAGGCCAGCCCGGCATGGGGTCCTTAAGCTTAAGGCCGGGCGAGAGGGAGTGATGTGCGTGTTCCGATGCAAGTTCGATGGGCTTCTCACTTGGCGACCTGTCAAGTTGTCAGTTTCCCCTTTCCTTGCTACTTGGGTCTCCCTTTAACACCACAAACCTGGGGTACCGTGAAAAAAGAGATGCACCCATTTGTTGGCAAATGTCAGTATTTCAATCACCGGCTGCAATCCTGCCAAAAGGTGGCAACCTTTGATTTCTGCTCCCGGCAAGTGAATGATTGTGGGGGCTGTACGGTCGAATTGTTTCCCTGAAATTTAGAATGACTTTACAGGTGTCCTGCAGATCCAGTTCTGCTGAAGTTCTGCCAGACAAATAGAAGACGATCACTTTGAAAACCCTGATGTCATGTCGCCTAAAAAGGAAGTCCAAAATGGTCTTGTGTTTGACAACCAACTTTCGGTTCCTACCCCCATTGAGCTGGGAGGGCGTTCTGACCCTCAGCTTCCATGGTGGGGTGCCCTCAACCACTGGGGCCTTCGAACCACTTTTCCGCGGGAGTCTTCCGTCAAGTTTGGCATTTGCTTCTGCCGCAAGAGCCCCAAGGAAGCGCAGAACGATGAGTTGAATGCTTGACACGTGTCTTGAAGGAAACCAGGACCCCTGCATGTCACACCAACGTGGCTTCTGGCAATGGTTGAAATCACTGTTCTTTCTGTTGTTTTCTTTTTAGAGGATCAAGCAAGGAAACCAGCATATGCACAGGAAGTTCCCCACGTCAGCATAGACGTGTCTTGGTGGCAAATGGGCCCATGGGAACACTCCCAATGTTTCACGTCGTTGGATCCTGGTGTGCACCTGGGTGTCTTCAAATTGCTGCCTGTTCAAATACCCCTCGCGCTCTCAATGCAGGAGGGCTATATTTTATTCGGTCAGGGTGATGTTCTGTGGGAGAAAGGCACATATTGACCATACTTGCGGCGCTTCAGCAAACGCCTGGACACGTGCTGGAAGCTCCTGCAGATGTGTTGGACATCGCATTGTTCAGCGCAAAGATGATCATGGGGATGTGATTTTTTGATGGTACCCTTTGGGGGGGTGGTTTCAAAGAGAAAGCCAGCCGCAGGGTTTCCTCGGAAGAGAAGAAACGCATTCGTGCCTATGTCCTCCCGTAAATTGCCCACAGCGACTGAGTTGCTCCACCCTGACTCCCCCCAAGAAAACCAGAGGGTCCTGTGTGGAAGTCAGGGCGTGCACGTCTATCATGATACACTTGCATGTGTGCACACATGGACATAGATAGGCATATTTGCTTATATACATGGATATTCTGCCAATTCGGGGCCATTTTTTGCAATCCAGGTTGGATGACACCTCACCCACCGAACAATCACAGGACACCGTCCAAAATGAGACAGTTGTGTCTTGGCTTGTTTTCAAATGTTTTCTCACCTTACTGAAATTGCTTGTCTTTCCTTTGCCATGAATTTGTGTCTGCCGGAGAGCGGATGCTCTGCAACAAAGGCATTTCATGTTCTCTTCGTGAATTCTGAAGACAAGCTAAGGCTATTGGATCGAACAAACACATGCAGTCAACCTGATTCCAGAATCTATAAAGCCAGCATTCAGACTTTTGTTTCTCTACGCAAGTCGTGCTTGGAATCCGCATCGAGGCGGGGGGGGGGCAGCGGCTGTTCCCTTGGCAGGCACTTCTTCGCGCTTTGTGCCAGTGAGGCGATGTGGGTGGTTTGGAGCATCTCAAAGGGAGCATTCCCCTGGTTCCATGGCAACGTCGGGGCGAGGCTCGGTACGGTTGGATGAAAGTAGATGGCACAATTCCAACCTTTTTCAATTTTATCCATCCACGTCGCTTTTCCACATCAAGGAAAAACTGTGCCGTCTACATTTACCTTGGTGTAACGTGCAAAGGATTTGTTGGCCCTTTGCCCGTTGTTGTTTTCCTTGATTCTCCCGTTTAACTAGCAAATGCGATATTTTTTGCCGGGGTCACTGCCAAATTTCATGGGTCAGGTCAGTTCGCTCGGGATTTGGGTGTTTTAAGGTCCTAAAAAAGAATAAGGGTTTTTACTCAAACTTAAGGGTTTGCCAAAACCAAAAAAAGACAAGCCCAGATTTTGCAGCAAATCTCAAAGTAGACTATTGATGCCAGTTTCCTCGAAACAAGAATCAATTTGCTTGCTTTTTAGGGGACCGCGCCGTTTCTGCGGGGGTATCACAGCTTGACGCGCCTGCTGAAAGGGGTTTGGGGTCATCTAAACAGAAATGAGTCTTGGCCGCCAAGAGGAAAGGGCTTGAACTGCTTTTCGGGAAAAACTTAACTATGAAACCGCCTCTTCTGTACGAGCAAAATGCGTTGTGTTGGATCCCAAATTCTGCTCGTATTTTGGCAGATTGGGCTTGCGCTTGCGGCAATTGCGAGTTTTCACAAAGAAAGCAGTGATCTGCAACAAATCCTGCATGGGCACATTTTTTGGGTTCTGGCCACGCACTACATAATACGGAGCAGAACGTGTTTTCTGCGTAGGCGTTTCTCAGAGGCCCCAGGTTCCTCGTGAACCAACTCCGAACAACTTCCGAACAACTTCCGAGCGAACTCCGAACTCCGAATGAACTCCGAACAAACTCCGAGCAAACTCCGGACAAAACTCCGAACGAACTCCGCACGAACTCCGGGCGAGCTCGGAACAAACTCCGAACAAGCGAACAAGCTCCGAGCAAGCTTTGACATTGGTTGATTTCCGAACAAACCCCCGAGCCAACTCCGAACACACTTTGGCCATAAGCATGTTTTTGAGCCTAAGTATTTTGGTGGTCAAACTGTTTTGGTTGCCTTTTTTCGGGCTTACCAAAAGAGGCCAAGTGATTACAGGGGCCAGTTTCAACAAGTGGCCTGGGAAGGCGTTCAGGGCCGGATTTGTAGGACTTCAGAGCTGCGGAGGGCTAAACTCGCTACCGGGGTGATCACGCAGCTTGGTTGACGCTGAGGCTCGCTGTTGAAGCTGAAACAAAGCTTAATCTTTTTGATCAAGGCTTAATCCGGGGAAAAAATATTAAAAAAATAAAGCTTAAGTTCAACACCGGTGTTGAACTTAAGGGTTTGCCCGATTTGTGTAATGGCTTGCCCGATTTTGGTCGTATGAAATAGCTGTTTTCTTGCATGAAAAGCCTGGATTAAGCATGTTTCAATGTTTTTTTTGCCCTGGTAACACTAAATTTGTACGAACAACGCATCAACAAGCTGTAATTCCAGTGTTTTTGTACGACCAAAACCCAAAAAGTTCAACACCGAAAACAAATAAGCTCCAAAAAAAACTTAAGGCCAAAGTTCGTTCGGAGTTCGTTCGGAGTTCGTCCAGGGCAAGAATTAAGCCCCGAAAAAAATAATAAGCAACAATCACAGCCTGAAAAAAAACGAGCAATAAAACAAAACAAAGCCGAAAAACTGAAACTTAAGGCCGAAACACAAGAATCAGCTCCACCACAGAAAAATATGGCCAAAGTTTGTTTGGCGCTTGTCTGGGAAGTAAATCCAGCCCGAAACATACATAACAGGAAAATCAAGTGACCAAAACAACTATTTTCAACAAGTGGCCTGAGAACATGTTTGTTTGCCTCAAAAGACACCTTCCCAGGCCACTTGTTGAAACCGGCCCCTGTAATCACTTGGCCTCTTTTGGTAAGCCCGACAAAGCAAAAAGAACAGCTTGGCCACCAAAATACTTGGGCTCAAAAACATACTTATGGCCAAAGTGTGTTCGGAGTTGGCTCGGGAACAATGCCCAAGTTCGCTCGGAGCTTGTTCGCTTGTTCGGAGTTTGTTCCGAGTTCGCCCGGAGTTCGTTCGGAGTTTGTTCGGAGTTTGTCCGGAGTTTTTTCGGAGTTCGTTCGGAGTTCGTTCGGAGTTCGTTCGGAGTTCGTTCGGAGTTCGTTCGGAGTTTGTTCGGAGTTCGTTCGGAGTTCGTTCGGAGTTTGTTCGTTCGGAGCTTGTTCGGAGTTGGTTCACGGGGAACCTGGGGCCTCTGAGAAACGCCTACTAAGAAAAAACACGTTCTGCTCCGCATTATGTAGTGTGTGGCTAAAACCCTAAAAAATGTGCCCATGCAGGATTTGTTGCAGATCACTGCTTTCTTTGTGAAGACTCGCAATTGCCGCAAACGCAAACCCAATCTGCCAAAATACGAGCACAATTTGGGCTCCAACACAACGCATTTTGCTCGTACAGAAGAGGCGGTTTCATAGTTAAGTTTTTCCCGGAAAGCAGTTCAAGCCCTTTCCTCTTGGCGGCCAAGACTCATTTCTGCTTAGATGACCCCAAACCCCTTTCAGCATGCGCATTAAGCTGGCTTACCCTTAAGTTTTTTTTGGTGTTGAACCGAATTCCCCACGCAAATTGCCGGGGTCGGAACAGAAGAGCCCCTACCATCCATGTTTGAATTTGGGCAAATGACATCTCGGGCTCGCAATATTTGTTGTTTGCGGCCTGATGGAAGCGGTTTGCTCCAAACCTCCAAAGCCAAAGCACGAGGGGGAAACACTTGGAATTGGGTCCTTTTGTTTTCCCCTTCCAGGGGCCAAATCTGTGACAAGGTCATTGGAGCACCCCCAATGAGGGTCCTTTGCGGTCCCTTTTCTCAGGTTCTCAAATTAGCTGTACAATGCTGTACACCCGTTGTCACCTCAGAAACAATGAACCACGGTGAACTAGAACAATCACCCACAGAAATCTGTCAATGACAGATCTGCCATTTTTCAACTTTCAGCTGATTGACCTTTAAGATCAGAAAAGGTGAGTTTCCTTGGGGGATGAGATTAAACAAATGTTAAGGAACTCTGGAACATCACTTAGGTGAGGAGACATGTGGCACAGTACACAGCTTGGCCAGGTCCAGGTGGATGAGATGCCCGAGGGCAAGCTGAGCGTCGCCTGGCGGTTCTTTTTGTGTAAGGGAGGGCCCCCAAGCTTTTTGGAGCCAAAAGCCAAGTGGGACTCAAGAGGCAAGTTGGAGAAGGTTGAGCTCTTTTCAGGGGGTTTGGCTTAGTCAGATTTTGGGGGATGGACAAAATGCTTCATTGGACTGCATCCCTGGTATCCCCCTGGAAAACCAAAATGCAAGGGTTTGTTTTGTTAATGGCGTCACTGACACAAGTAAATGTGGGTTATGCATACAAGCACTAGGCAGAAGTATATCTACCATTCACTCCCTTAGTTGGTTTTGGTTTGGCTTGTTTGTTGTTTCTTATTCAGATCCATTGGGGTGGGGCGGCGGCAGGTCCAAACTGTCTGTTTGGTGTTCAAATGTTTGGACTCAATGTAGTCTTCCACCGTAAGTACGTATGCCTTGTTTGTTCTGGAGTTGGTACCCTCTTTAGGGTCCCCACGAATTGTGGCCATTGTATATATAGAAATGTGTTGCCAAGTTTGAAATGGCGCAGGGCTGCCTTCAGGTGATATTGCAGTTTGGTAAGGTAATGTTGCAGTCCAAGTGGATGCGTGGGATGCAGATCATTCCGTGAAGCAGATATGCCAGTCTCAAGAAAGCTTGAGGACCCTTTTTGCAGGGGGATGCATCCAAAAGCCATTTGCCCTACAAGCATTTGCATCCTCTAAATCAGCTGACCCATGTGTATCAGTGATGGGCCCTGTTGTGGGACAGGCCAGATGACGGCGGCGATACCTTGTTTTCTTAAATAGAAGCACACCTTGGTAGGCATGGCCCCCTAAACTCTACACGTTTTTTTGCAAGCCATGTTACCCCAGCAGGGTGCCCTGAAGTCCCAAACAAGAGATGCCTCCACACAAATGACGGTCTGATGAATGGTTGAATCCGGTACCATTCCTGTCATTTCCACAAAGGACCTTGAAGGACGTATTGAGGCAAGTCATGAAGATCATCTTTTCCAGCTGTGTTTTTTAGGGTCCAAGTCTTTTGTGAAGGCGGTTTTTTGGCGAATCCTTGAAGGAACTGACGCCTTTCGTGGCATTGCTGGCGTGCACCGTTTCAAGGTCATGTCGGCAACCGCCGCGGGCGCCACGCCGGCTGCCAGACCCATAGCGCAGTCCTGGTTTGATTGGGTCCTAAGGTAGGTGGGACCTGTTCAAAGAGTGGATGTGTCCTGACACTCGTTGAAAAGGGCTAGCTGTTGGCTTTCATTTACGGCCAAAGGGGGCGCCCCTCCAATTCAAATGGTGCAATGGTGCGACAAGGGTGCGACAAGGGTGCGACAAGGGTGCGACAAGGGTGCGACAAGGGTGCGACAAGGGTGCGACAAGGGTGCGACAAGGGCGAAGGAAGTCTTCGATGCCTTGAAGGGAGAGATCCCCACAGCTCCACCCACCCAAACAGAACCACCGCACCCACCCAAAACCGCCCAAGCGTGCGGTTAAACCTCCAGGAGAGCCATGCGAGCCATGTAAAATGATCTTGAGCAAGTCGAACATACGGTGGATCCGCTGAATGTAAATCAACCGCACCGCGGTATTGCAGGAGGGTCCTGGTTCTCCACTTCTACCTACGGATCCACTGAAGAGGCCCTTAGCTTGGCAAGCACCAGAAAGCCACAGCCAGCCAAGCCAAGCGTACTTTACCGGTTTAGGCCTCCTACACACATGCAAGACAGCTTTTAGCCAACAAATCGTGGCGTGGGAGAAGGAACCAAAAAAGCGCCGTGGCAAAGGAAGATGCGTTCTTGTCCACACCAAGTTGCAACTCCCATGACTTGCCATGGATAGTTGGCTTGCAATAGTTGAACCAACCGTGCCTGCCCTGGAAGAAGAAGTGGAGGGCTCCTCATGTTTGACTTCCAGAACACCTCATTGAGCATGGCTAAAATATTCTTGCTGGCTGGCTTTTGGAGAGTGAGGGAATGCATCCACTAGGCAAACCTACGGCTTGCTTTGAGTTGCTGGATCCACAGCTCAAGTTGGCATCAAAGAATACCTTTAAACATAGACGTCATGACCCCAGTCCCCCAATCTTTACTTCTTAGCTGAGTAGCAACTCAAGGTACCCCATAGGCCCTAAAGCAACTCTACACACATCCAGCACCTAAACAATCCACCCTACCCACTTTTACCCATCCTAAATCAAAGCCATCATAAACCCACTCCTTCCGGTGAGGCCCCGACTCAAAAATACTGAGGCGGTGCCGATCCCCTGCCGCTCAGCACTGCTAGGCTGGCACCTGTTGCAAGTAGTCCGTTTGCTTAGTTGTTCAAAACCCACCTTTGAAACTTTTGGCTTCGCCTTTTTGGTCCACGTTTTACCCCGAAAGGTTAAGCTGTTATTTCTAGGTCCTTCGGGCAAGTGAGTGGTGGGCTGCTTTGTTTTTTCCTTACCAGCAAACAGCGAGATATTTGGCCTTTTTCCAGTGACCAATTCCCAAGTTGCAGGTGCAAGCCACTCCCTTCTTGCATCACTCAGATGGGTGTGTTCTCAAATCTGGGACGCCTGAGCGAGGTGAATTTTGGCCTTGCTTTCAGGCAACAGCAGTGCAAAAGCAGGTTTGAGACACTCACAGCTCCATTTCTTGTTACTCCAAATCCATTTCGGGGATCCCGAGCAGAATGCTTAAACACGCTTGGCCGAATAAAGGAAACAATCCCTAGGAAGTGTTGAATACAGCAAAGAAGTTAGTTCGCCCTTTGAGGGTCCTTTGAAGGCAACCCAGTATAGAAGCATTTGTTTGAAAGCTTTTGTGCAGGCGTCCTGCAAAAAATGTCCGTGCAACAAACAGTGTGCCGGTTGCAACTGAGGCCAAGGTCATCCATGTACCAAAATGCTTGGCTTCAGGTTTCGAAAGTGATATCAACGTTGCAGCAAAATGTGGTTGTGTGCTTGAGTTTATCACGAAGGGCGACGCGAGCATGTCTCAAGTCTCAACACTCTGAGAGGGTGCCCACAACCCCCCCCCCCCCCCGCAAAAGCACTACTTTGAAGGAGTACTGGAGATCCACCCTTTATACAGTGGTAATCAAAAATAAAGTTATATAGTGGTGTTATGCCCCGTTGTCCCAGGCAGTTTGTCTCATGCTACGTCCAAGCGTCCCGATTCTGGCCACCGCCAGGTATAGGAGGACACATTGCAGATGTTGATCCACTTCGGTGCATGATTGTGCGTTCCGCCCACCTTTATCCCTTTTCCGCTTGGGCCAAAAGATATGGATTCCGCCCTTGATGCAGGTTCCTTTCGCGCTTTGCTCTTCACATTTGGCTAAAGGATTCATTGTTCAGCAGCTGGTGTCGGTTGACGCAGAGGTGGTGGGCCCTGAGTGCGCTTATCAGCAGGCAGTCACACCATCAAAATCAAACAAAGGGTCGCCGCAAAGGAGTTGTTCTACAACCCAGAGGGCTTGGGGGTCATACATGTCTTGAAAGGGGAATTTAGCTTGTCCTTTGAGGTCCCAACTAAAAAAGTCCTCGATGACTAGTTCAGTTTTGAAGCTCCACCTTTCCTGGAAGTTGCTCGTTGTTGCCGATACCCCCAGACTGGAAATTTGGAGTTTCCTTTAATTCCCCTTGAACCCCACCCCCCTCCCCCCGCCAAAAACAGAACGCTCCCCGAACAACACGGAGCAACTCAAAAGACGAGGCACCCCCCGAATCGCGCAATGTGAGGCGTCGCCGCGCCGGCGCTGCTGGGCCACGCCGGCGCCCAGGTGATTTTTTGTCCGGAAAAAGAAATCCAAGGCCCGGCTCCCTGAACTCAGGTTGTTCGGAATTGGTGGTTGTTGTTGGGAGACACTTAACATTGTTGCTTATTGTGGTTTAGTGGGAAATCCCCGCTTCACTGCTATTATTATTATTTTTGTTGCTCCCCTTCCAACGTCAAGTTTGGATTAAGGAGGGGTTCCCATCTACCCTCTACAAGAACCAGGGGGTTGGGAAACCACCTCCTGAACAACCAAGCCACCATGTTGGGAAGCTTGTTTAAACCCTGGTTTCCGCGAAATCAGTTTAGGGCTTGGGGTTTGAGGCCTGTAGCCCTTGTTTCCCCACAAGATCCTGATGCTTGTAGGAATCCAGGGAGGGGAGGTTAAGGGGAGGATTGGGATCAGAGGTGCGATGTTTGGGTTGGAAGTGCAAGGACCTAGATCCCCAGCCCCTAAATAGCGCTTTGTCAAAGCCTTTGTCTTCTGGCAGTGGAGGGGGTTGTGGTGGTGACAGGGACGGCGAGGGCAAGGAGCGAGACGAAGACAGATTCGGCGGTGTCCTTTTGCCAGACGACACCCAGGATGAGGACGCCTTGAATCTGAAAATCCAGAAGACGTGGCAACCGCCAGAGTTCAAGTTCCTGGTCAATCCAGATTACAGCATTGACATGGTGAAGGCCCTTTTTTTCTTTCAGTGGGGTGTTGGTGTTGATGGCATTCGCCTCCAGAATGGTGGCGCTGATGTGGACAACAATCTTGCTTTGGCAGAATTGTTCATCACCAACATCACGGTGCTTCAAGCAATAAAGGCACTTGTTCACGCACACAATGGCACAGGAACAAACTTTGCTCGGAGGGGCACCCCCTTTGTTTTTGCAGCGGCGACGGCAATGACAACAGCGCAACTTCACGGCTAGCTCACTTGCTTAAGCTTCAGGCGAAGTATAACTTCCTGATCGTAGGCATGATTTTGGGGAACCATGTTTACTCGTAGGGACCGAGTTTAGTTTTTGCATCCTGGGAATGCTAGAGAAAAAAAGTTGTCCTTCAGCATGACGTGTTTTCCCGCTCCAAGCCAAACAGCATGCAACACACGACCCTTATTGTTATAGGTACTTGTTCAATTGCGCATGGAAGAGGGACGGGGCGAATGGGGAAGGGAAAGCGGAGCGAGAGAAAGAGAGAGAGGAAAGCAAACACACGCACACGCACTCTCGTTTGCTTGTGAGTGCCGAGCAAGCTGTTCGTGCATGGCCGAGAGCTAGGTACTGCCAGCGGCCCTGCGAGGTGAACCTGAATTAGGGACTCTCTAAGACTCTAAGCCAGGAACCTTCCTCACGGGGAGGCTTGTTGTACCGCATGGTGATAAGTGCAAAGGCTGAAGGTTTAAAAGTTTGGCTGGCAAGTGGGCGTTTTGTTGGTTAGGCGACTGTGGGCAACAGATAGCGACGAAACCAATGCCCCCTTGCGAAGGCCCTTTGATTGGATGAGGGGATGCCCCAAAGTGGAAGCAAAGGCGGAGGTCCGCGGAACAGATCCACCTCAGGTTCGCAGCCTCTTCGCTCACTATTTGCAGGAGGAGGCTCTGCATGAGGTTAGTCGGTACCATCCGTTCTTCCTGGTTTGGGTGGAGGATCCGATCCCAAAAAGAGATGCCTCACAATTAATGTTGAACCTTGTTTAATGTGGCCCCACCCCTCTACAGTTAAGTATTGCTTTAGCATTGCCAATGCTTAGTTTAGTATTGCCAGCACTTCCTGTTGGATTGCCAGAACTTAGTTTAGTTTTGCCTAGTCTATTTCTCGTTTTGCCAGGACTTACTTTTCGATTCCCAGTACTTGGTTTAGTATTGTCTAGTCTGAATTTCTTTTTTAATTCCCAATCAGCCACACAAAGGGGGTGCCCACGGGAGCCAGTGATATTGTTTAACATGACAGTTTGGGGGTCTTCTTGAATGTCCTGAACCAAGTGCTGGGAAATCTATAAGTAAGTCCTGGCAATACTAAATTTAAACTAGGCAATACTAAAACACAACCAACCAACCCACAAACAAACAAACCAAACAACCCACCAACCAACAAACAAACAACGACAGCTACAACCTTCCCGCCGTTTACAACCAAACCATGGCCGCGTCTTGATGCAGCATTTTCCCACGTGGTTTTGCTTTTTTGTCGCCTGGCTGGAACCAGCGAGACAAGGTTCCAAGAATGGAGCTCTGCAGTTTCAAAAGCCTGCCATGGGCGCAGAAACAAGCCTTGCGTAGCGGATGCACTACGTGGGCGTGTTTCACACCGACGAGGTTGCCATGGAAGCAGCCACACGCAGAACCTCTCGAGCAAAATGCTGTCTGAGTGGCGGGACACTTGCGACGAGGCTGGGCCAACATCCAGACCTGACTCGACCTTCACACGGCCCTTGCCTGACCTCGCAGTGCTCAGCATTGCGAAGGATGCAACTTCGCAGCTTTTTGACGTAACATCTTTTCGGTGCGAATTCAGTCTTGTTGGTTTGCGGACCGCTTACAAAATGGATTTACCCTTTGGGCTGGGAAGAGCTTGGACCCTTTTAAAAGTAAAGGCTAAGGCTTTTTATGTGGGAGTTTCAGTAACCATGTCCCCCCCATATCCCCCCATACTCGACCCATACAGAGAAGGAATGCTTCGTGCAATCTAGTAAGTGCAGGTTAACGAGCATCTTCGACTTTTCCACACCACAGTATGGATGCATCAAAATTGGTAGACTGGCTTCGGTGCTTCCGTTTTTACCAACTCAACAGGGTGCCGAGCCTTGAGCAAATTCGCATGGTGTTCTTGGACAGGGGGTGGCCATCTAAGCAAGCAACACATGTCTGGCAACCCCTGGGGTGGAGGCCATCAACAGTGAGCCCAACCGAGGACCTTTTCCTCTTAGGGAAACCCAGCGGAGGTTGAGATGGTCTAAAAAGTTGCGCCAGGAGGGATTCCAACCCATTTAGTGAGGTAAAAAACGTAAGAATATGCCAACACAGGTAAACGGTTCTTCACTACCTACCGAAGACCCGTTGTACCCCAAAACTCCCCACCCGAACCCCCTTCCCCCACTCGACTCGACTCGACTTCGACAGGAGGCGCGACAGCGGGGATTGCCAGCGAACCCGGGCATGAAGGCGCCAGAGGTGCGCCTGGCCGCGGCCCCAACAAGGTTGGGGGGCGGCTTTCAGCATCCTCTTCAGGACCCTCGCTGAAATCGCTTCAGAATCTGGAAAGGTGTGGTTTTCAGAGAACACTGTTTTGGGCGGTCGGTTTAAAGGAAACCCCCCCCCCCACCACAAAATGTTTGGGCCCCAAAATGGAGAGTGTCTACGATTTTCAGAAATTTGTCATATCGAAATGTATAGCATGTTTGTTAGTGTATGTATTGATGAATCTAATTTATCAGTCAATCAGTCTTTCAATCTATCTAGTCTAGTCTCAGCTAATCTCTTGATCTGTTTTGATCTGATCGAATCTAATATAATCTAATATATTCATATCTGTGTGTGTGTCTATGTGTTTATGTGTGTTTTTTTTTTTCTGTTCCTTCAATTTGGTTCCTTCCATTCAGGCCGTCATTCATTCCAGTTCATCCGTTCATTCAAGGTCTTTCATTCATGTCTTCATCCTTGCTCGTCAAAATGTCATTCATTAGTTCATTAATTCATTCATTCATTCATTCATTCATTCATTCATTCATTCATTTATTCATTTCATTCATTCATTCATTCATTCATTCATTCATTCATTCATTCATTCATTCATTCATTCATTCATTCATTCATTCATTCATTCATTCATTCATTCATTCATTCATTCATTCATTCATTCATTCATTCATTCATTCATTCATTCATTCATTCATTCATTCATTCATTCATTCATTCATTCATTTCATTCATTCATTCATTCATTCATTCATTCATTCATTCATTCATTCATTCATTCATTCATTCATTCATTCATTCATTCATCATTCATTCATTCATTCATTCATTCATTCATTCATTCATTCATTCATTCATTCATTCATTCATTCATTCATTCATTCATTCATTCATTCATTCATTCATTCATTCATTCATTCATTCATTCATTCATTCATTCATTCATTCATTCATTCATTCATTCATTCATTCATTCATTCATTCATTCATTCATTCATTCATTCATTCATTCATTCATTCATTCATTCATTCATTCATTCATTCATTCATTCATTCATTCATTCATTCATTCATTCATTCATTCATTCATTCATTCATTCATTCATTCATTCATTCATTCATTCATTCATTCATTCATTCATTCATTCATTCATTTCATTCATTCATTCATTAATTCATTCATTATGTCTTTATTTATCTCTTTATTTCCTTATGTCTCTATTCATTCATGTATTGATTTATTTTTGCATTTATTAAGTTGTTCCTTTTCTTTATTTCTTCCATCCCTCCTCCTCCCTCCCCTCCCCTCCCCTCCCCTCCCCTCCCTCCCTCCCCTCCCTCCCTCCCCTCCCTCCCTCCCTCCCTCCCTTTTTCCCTCCCTTTTTCCCTCCCTCCCTTTTTCCCTCCCTCCCTCCCTCCCTACCTCCCTCCCTCCCTCCCTCCCCCTTCCTTCATTGGAGGGTCAGCGACATATGACACAGACCCTGAAAGTGGATAATTGGTGTGTCCCAGGCCAAGTCCACCTGGGAGGGGCTACTTAGTGGACAATACCTTCCAGACAAACCTGGAAGCGAACCGGATTGCTTTGCAAAGGATCCAACATAGGGTTGTGCTCCGACCAGTTTTGGTGCGCAGGTAGGCGCAAGAGTTGGGCAAGATCTGCTTGGGCAACCATAGCTTGTCCCCGGGTCCCCATTTAAAGTGAAATCCTAGGGCAGTTGTTTGAGCAATACGGGTTTCAACAAGGTGTTCCTTTCAACCCATGGCTCAAAGGTTGTTTAGGCCTGGGGTGAAACCACGACTGAATTGTACCTAGACCGCACTAGGTATGTGCAAAATTTAGCTTGAGCAGCTTTGTGAGTTTGCCTTGCGCAGCGGGAAGTAAGCTTGGCTCAACAGCATAGTCTGACTCAGCCTCCTGCATGTTAGAAGGACCTCCACACGATTAAAAGCCACTTCGGGATTGTGAGGGGTGACATCTTTGTGTTGTGACCCACGGTGTAGGCTAAGTCACGGGAAGCCCAGCTATTTTTTGTGCGATTTAGATACGATTTTGATATGATTGGAAAACATGGTTTTGTTACGCCGGTTTTACGATATTTTTAACGATATGGGGTCAGGAAATTGGAATTCGTTTAAATAAAAACACGTAAACAAATGGAAATCGTATTAACATCGTATTGAAATCGTATTAAAATTGTATTAAATGCGTATTATTGAAATCGTATTAAAATTGTATTAAATGCGTTTTTTTTTTTTGCGATTTTAATACGATTTCAATACGACTTGAATACGATTTCTAATGCGATTTTAGTACGGTTTTTTGCACCCCCTGCAAGTGCATGTCCAATGTGTAAAAAACGTAACAAAGACTTTGTGTTGTTTGTTTGGAAGGAAACATGTTGTTTTTTGAGGTGTACCTCGTTTTAGGGTTTAACAGGCAAGCAAAGGAAAACCATCTTTTTGGGTGGTCCACTGAAAAATGACGCACCAATGTTAGGGGTAGAGACATGTCTGAGGAAAGAGAGAGAGAGAGAGAGAGAGAGAGAGAGAGAGAGAGAGAGAGAGAGAGAGAGAGAGAGCGAGAGAGAGAGCCTGTGGACCGAAGACACCCCAGGAGGAGCAAGGGCCGAAGCCAGGTACATCTGCAGCTGGTGCTTTGAGCTCCCAAACAAAATGAACCCGGGCGTGCATTTACAACGGCGCACCCCTTCTTATCCCCGTCCTCCCCCTCCCCCACCCCCGGGAAATTGCATGGAGTACAGGGTTACGGGGGGTTGCACCCCCAAGAACCGTCTCCATGGATGTTCCCTTTGGTACTACATGTGGTGCTGTATAGTGGGGGCCGTTTCTGTCCCAGTCTGAGGCTTGATTTTTCCATACGCAGAAATCGATCTGAGGCGCTGGCGCAGCTTCAAAGGCTCCAGGTGGACGAGGACTAAGCCCGAGGGCTTTGGACAGTTTGCATCGGTTCCCCTAACCCAGTTGCCTAGTGGTGCCCTTGTTTCCTTTTTTGTTGGGAAGGGTTCCCCTTCAAAGTCAACAAACCAAAACGGATGCTCTTTTTTCCCAGGCATCTGCGCTAAAGCCCTTTCACTGAGTCACAAGGCTGACTTTGAGAAATTGATGTATGAATGAACAAGAAAAACGGGTCCGGGAGAGAAGTCATGACCCTGGTTTTCCTCGGAACCCCTTGATTAGAAGCTAGGTGCCAAATGGAAGGCCTGTTGACGAATAAGCCCAGGGAATCTTCCCCGTTTGGATGGCATCCGGTTCACTTTTCAGGAAATTACACCCTACAGATTTGCCGGGGTCCATCTCAATCCGGGGTTGACATTCGGGTGGGCCAACCCCGTGCGAGCTTGAAAACTGGCAGGCTAATCTAGAGAACCTGGAAAGCTTTGCTACAAAAGTTGATCCGAAATCCAGGAGGGCCATGCATCTCAAACCCTCGACTGGAGAATGTCAGCAGAAAGCGGCTGCATGGATTGAAAGGCATGGACGATCGCAGCATCTTGTTGGCAGCCTTGCATTGGTAAAGGCCCCCTAAAAGGATTGCCGCCAGAGATACAGCCGAGTTTTGCCTTCACGGCGCAGCTTTGCCTATCCATACCACACATCCTGAATGTCCCTCTATTCCAGCTATGTTCTTCATGGTTCCGAGCCGGTACCAAAAGAAAAGACGATGATCAACAAGCCGAAACGGCCTGTGTTGGTTTCACTTTGGTCTTCTGCGGTTTCGCTTTACCCGGGCCCCAAGTTCGATCGCTCGAATCGGAATGGGAGTGATCCCCTTCCATGGAAGGAGGTGGTGGCCGCTGCGGCTCCGGCGGCTTCTGACAGGGTGCGGGTCGCAGGGCCTGGGATGAAACGATCCAAAACCCTTGGCCTTCTTACAGGATCCTAACGTTTGGCTTGATTTTAGGGTTGACCCATGCTCTTCACCAATGGTTCTCAGGAACAATTGTCCCAGGGGGTTGGCCAATTCGAAGAGAGATCCTTGAAAGTTAATGGGGGGCACCCCCGAAATGGCGGTTTTCCTTTTGGTGGTCAAAAGGGTACCTTCACAAACACGCACTGGTGCGTTCCTTTTAATAATTCAAGCATCACGCAAAAGCGGGCCAATTTTCACTGTGTTTATTTCCATGCTTGCCCTCTCAGAAACACACATCACGCTTTCTGGGGTACTGTTTGGTGTTGATGTGTGTTCAAGTCGGTTTCCAGAAGGCCATGCCCACATTTGGCCGGCGACTTGGCTAGTGCTGACAACCCAAGAGGGTGTTTGTTGTCCTTTACCATCCTGAAAAAAGCTTAAGTCAGGTTTCCCATAGTTGGTAGTTTAGAGAATTGGACCCCTGGCCTTTGTAGAGCGTGGAAATGGGAAGCAACCTTTAACCACCAAACCACCAGTCCACACACTAATTGGAGGGAAGCCGAAAAAAGCGCATTTGTTGTATAGCTCAGGTCCCTTGTTTGTTTCTGGCAGGTTTTTCGAGACATGCAAGTGCAGCTTGCAAGGCCTGCGGCGCTGCCCAGAGTCCCATATTTTGTGTAGACCCGCTTTGATCTCCCCAAAGCAACAGCCAGTGCTCTCCACAAGGCCCACATGTGAAACGACTCCTTGCAGGATACATCCGAAATTAGCTCTCACAGCCACCCGTCGGACCTATCGCAGCATCGTTGAAGTCAGCTGGCAAATGTGACATTCAACATGCCGAGCTGTATGCATTTGCAGATCCCCCTGGCTTTCCCTGGGAGGCCGCACCGTGTTGTTTTTGAGGCTGAATATGGGATGCTAAGGGAAACGGGGCAGGGACCATGCGACAATTGAGTTGGGACTATCCTTCTAAGCTTAAATGGGAATCTGTAAAGAACCTGTTCAGAGGCGTTGTGTTTGGAGGACCTTCCCCCTATTCGTGCTTAGTCTTCTGCGGGTCTGTGCAATTCGTCTTGTTCAGCCGTGCTCTCCCAAGAACAATTTGCGTTTTCCAAAGGAACCTGATTTCTAGGCAATCTCCTGCCTGGTATGACAGAAAGGGTGACTGGAATCCGGCCAGGGTAAGATCAGGTTGACACTTTGTGGAGGGGGGGATTGGTTTTATGAACACAGCCTGGCCACCTGGCCTTTTAGCCAATAAATATGTCTTAATTCCTAAGATGGGTTACATAGTGTCTACATAGCTAATGGGTCGCATGAAGGTGGCCCAGAATTTGGAGTCAGAGGCCCGCGCAGCCTGCAGCTTGGCGGGCAGCCGCGGTGGGGCCCTCAAGTGGTTCCGACTGAGCCAGCTTTGGTTATGCAGTCCACCCCTGTCTAACAGAGGAAATTTACAGGTAGAACTGTAGAACCCTCTGCAAATGGTTGGCCTCGTTTGGTTTCCCCACTGTGAGAGAACATCCACTTCACACCTGTTGGATCCTGTTGGTGGGTGGTTTACCCCAATATTCATAGGGCGTTGTGCATCCCAACTGGTGCAGGATGTTGTAGTTGTTCAGTGGCACCCGTCTCCAGTGTTGCTTGGCAGACTTCCCAGAAACAATATATTGTTCTTGGACCATTGTTTCATTTCCCTTCTAAAGGATCCTCACAGTTTGTTGAGCCCCTGTGAATAACTGACAGCATCACCGGGATATGTTGGGCCCCTGTTAGTTTCGCAGGCTGTCGATTTTGGGTGGGCCCCTATCGATTCATGATGATAGTAGTGACAACAGCGCCCAGATCCTTTTTGAAAAGCCATATCCGGCCCCGTCTTATGCTTTGAACCTTTGGTGAAAGGGGTCCAATGCATGTTTGACACTGCGGTGAAAGGAGATCCAGGTACTTTTACGGTTTTCAATTCTTTGTTCACGTTCCTTGTTGGTTTTGGGAGGCATGTCATTGGCTTGTTTGGCTTTAGTTGGGGACGTCCACTTTATCAGCTTTTCCACTTGCACTTTTCAGGGGCCCAAAGCGAATCGACATTTGAGCTTTAAGAATCAATGCTAGTTACTCTCATTCTAAGTTCCAAGCCAAACCGTGATCACCTGCAGATGTGCGTTTCGATCTAATGGCTGGTAGCTTGCTTTGGGATTGCCACACAACTGCATGGGATTTGGTTCATGAATATGCGGCATACGGTAGGCCGGCTATAAATTGAGAGGATTCTCATGCGATCCTTGAAGTTGGCGACTCGGACCCCAGGGTCAAAACAGCGCTGCCATTTGGACCACTGGTGGGTCGACCTCAACGGCCCCCAAAGACTTGGCAAAAGCAAACCTGGTTTAAAGAAACAAATCAAAGAGCTCCACTCCGGAACGTGCTAGGCACATCGATCGGAGGTCAGTTAGACCTCGCTTCGAAGCGGTGATTCAATGGGATTGTCAAGTGTCTCGAGAGGGTCTGGGCCCCTTTGGTCAGCCTCTCGGGCTTTACCTGGGTAGAGCCACATGGGAAAGAAGCTCACAGCAGAGTGTGCTTTGGTCAGGCACCTGAAGAGTTGTGCAGCCTGCAGAATTTGGCAACTTTTGGCTCAGGGCAGGGAGGTCGGGTCGCGCACGACCACCTCTTCATTTTACTCCCCCCTTGAGATTATGGTTGCCCATCGTTGCTCGGGTGTAAAGACGGACCTGCTTGCAAGCAGCTCAATGCACGGCTTGAACTTCATAGCTGACATGCCACGCACCGCGAGTTACCAATACAGCCCATGCCCTCACGGAGAAATGAGAGCGTCACAGGGCATATCACATTCCTGGGAGTCATCCTGCACTGTTCTTTGACTCTTTGAAAACCTTCAGTGGCAGAACGCTACTTCGTGCGTCTCATTTTGCCAACTCATTTAAACCACCGCGAACGCACGGTGAGGAGGGAAATCAGAGACCCCCTTCAAGACCCAAGAAGCACCCAACACCCAAGAAAAGCAACGCATCCAGCCTCAACAAGCCAACACGCACACCCACATGTGGAGCCCCAAAAGCCACTCCTGATGGATGTCCCGGTCGCCATGGAACTTGACGACTCTTTGAGCCGCAAGTTGGGCCAGCTGAGCAAGGAGTCGTGGGATTTGTTCAACTCAGAGCTCTGTGGGTTTGTGGTTTTCTGGAGTTGGGACCCATGATTTGTGGTTTTAAAGGAAACTAAAAGCATATCCAGAATCCATTTTAGTGGGTCCCCTAAACATAGATTCACCACTGTGGGATCCTTTGCCCTTCAAAAGCGGATCAACTCCGGATCGGACCTTTGTTTTTTTGTTTCTCATTGGCAACTGTTTTTGGTCAAGGTTGCAAACGGTGATTACCTGTTTCCGCCTTTTTCCATGTCCTTTTAAGAACTGAGTTGCCCTTTCTTGCCAGGTTGCCCATTCAAAATGGTCAACCACGAACAGGGTGCGTTCCCTTTGCCGGGCTCAGTTGGCCACGAACAAATCGATTGGTGTGCCGTTCTTTGCATGTAGGTCGTTTTGGTTGCGTTTTGAGGCCTTTGCTGGGTGCATTAATCAGCCCCCTTGCTCAGTGGAAACAGCTGAGGGAAACCTTCATCCCCAAGCAACCCAAGATGAAGGTGCGCATTCCACGTCGTCGTCGAGTCGTCAAAACAGCTGCCCAAGTGTTGACCCCGATACTGTAACCATTCAATTCGTAGGCACATGGATAGAAGATGTCAAAGAAGATTGCCCCCAAACACCCAACCCAGCGGGGCTGATGCTGAAAAGCTTCCCAGATGTTCAGTCCCTTTTGTGTTCTACCATTCGGATCACTGGTTGGGGGTTGTTCTACATGAGTCACTGACAGTTGTTGGTAGCCTACTTTTGGTTAGACGACATGGTGGGAGACCCCCAACGTATCTACAATGCCTCCAAGTCTCCCATGCATGTGTGGTGTGCTTTGCCCTGTGACCAAGTTCTAGAATCTGGAAATGCGTGGCCTCAGGTAGAAAAGGCCGAGCTTCTACATGTCTTGCCACGCCATGCCCTGAGACTTTCGCAAGGGATCAAAAAACCGCCAGCAAGGACCTGGGCGCCTGCGCGCAGCAATTCTTTTTGCAGGCTGTTTTTCCGCCACATGGGCTCCTTGGGATCGATCAGTCCGCCTTGCTAGGTCGCTCCTTTGGTATCCATGTGAAAATGCCCCAAATGTGGTATCCTCAAAAGACCATGTCTTTTCGGACCCCTGAATCCTGTGACCTTACATACCTCTTTTGTTGCGCATGTATAAAAGAAATGTACTGCCGGCTTGTTGGGTCCTGATCTTAGGAAACATCCATATATGTTATCAGCCCCTTTTGGAAGGTTTGTTCTTGAAGCATCACCCTACGGCGGTGCGAGACGTACAGCTGGAACCACTGCAAACCGATAAGGACAGACACCGATGACGAGAAGCTTCCAGCACTCTATTGCCAGAGGTTGCTGTTCACAAATGCAATGGTGATTTGCCTTGGTTTGTGGCAAACTCACCTGAGCTTTTACCAAGGAATCCCTCATTGCTGGTTTTCATTCACTGCGAATTCCGCCGAATCCACTTTTCCGCCGAAGCCAAACCAAGTAGTGTTCTTTCTCGTTTTGGTCTCCCTTGCCAGGACCCCCCCCCCCTTCTCATCTTGAACTATCAGCACAACTTCGCTGTGAACAGGTCGGTAGGACCAAATCATCAGTGAATTTCAGTCTTCCGGCCTGCGCAAGAGGGCTCTCTATGGGTATCATGTTTCCCTCCCACAAATCACCTCCGAAAAGAACACTCACCTCTTTTGGCAACCAACAAGTAATGCTGAAGCTGGCTTAAAGAGAAGTCTATGCATGCTTGTCGCACGAAGGGGATGGAACCCAAACGGCGGGCCATTTGCCGAAAGGAGATTCCGAGAAGGGCACACAGCCTCCTACTACCGCAGCAGAGGTCATGGGAGGGCGCCTGGATCAACTTCCTCTTGAACGCACCTTCTCTTATATTTTCGGTAGACAGGGTGACTTGCTTTGGAAAGCCATGGCTAGAACCTTTAAAGCTTTGGGTTTCGTCACAGTTCAAATGGCTGCTGTGTCCCAACTCCAAGTGCTGTCTAAGAAGCGGACACGCCAACGTGAACGTAGATGGTGCAATCCCCTTTCTGTGAGTAAGACATGGCTCTCTAAACCAGGTGTTTAATTGGCAGGGCAACCTTGATAAGTGGGTGAGGATTAAGTTTCAGGGCATGTCCAACCCAAAATGATGGAGCGGTGCCATCTACTTCCACTCAACCCCAACCTGGGCGGGGTTTGGACAAACATCGTCACACTTAATGTATCTGCATAATTCTGCATACACACACATGCACATAATATACATATATGCAGGTTTCTGTTTGGGTAGATCTAAATACGAGCAGCCCAACTGCAGATGCTCCAGGCGGGCACGTCAGCCCTCGAGCCGCTGCACGAGGCAGAGCGGCAAATTCAGCGGCTCACGCTGGAGGATCAGAGCCAGGGTTTCAGGCTTCGTGGCTTCCGCGACTGCAAGTAGCATCGCCAGACTTAGCTCAGGTGAACATGGAACCCAAGACAGGAGTCCCCAAAAGGAATCAGATTCCTCTAAAAGTGGTGGGTGAGCGGGTTCCATGTCAAGCTGTAGGGAAGTAGCTCACCTTTGTTTTTTGTGTGATGGGAAGTACGGGGACCGACCGAATCCTCCCCAATTCTGCGAATAGAACTTGCAGATAGACACGTAAGCCTTTTGTGTCCTTGGTGTTCTTCTTTGACCAGCAGCAAGTCAACTTGCAGAGGGTCGGAGTCTGGACAAAGTCTTGGTGGAGGGTACGCCGGTTGGTTTCAACCAACACCGCAAAGGACTACCAGCTTTCTTGGAGGGGCTTCTCCATATTTCTTTCGACACGTGCCCAAACAAATTAACAAGGACCACAGGAACCAATCCCTTGGCAGCAATATCTTTTGGGGCATGAATCCGATGGATTGAGCGGCTCAAGCAACGTTTGTTTTCCACGGAGTTGGAGGAGACTCGCATGAGCGAGCGCTTCTGGTGCCAGTAGACGAATCAGTAGAACTAACTCTCAATGATCAAGTGCAGGTGGATGTCTAACCCCGCTCACCTTAGGTTGAAATTGGTGTCAGTCTAGTCCGCGTGTTTTTCCAAAATGGCACCCTTTGGGGGCCGTGGTCGGTCCGGCCCGGCGCATCCGTTCGCGAGGAGGGCCGATTCCTGGAGCCCGAGTTGCCTGAGCCGGGCAAGCTGGCGTGGGCAGAGGGCCATCTGCAGGAGAGTTGCGAATTGCTGTGGGGCAGATGGGTGTTCCCAAAACAAAGGCCCCTGTTTATGTCCGGTTTCGCCTCAGTTTCCCATTCAAACCATGCAGTTTCTCAACTATAAAGTGAAGATGCCTGGCGCCATGGCCAAGCATGCCTGTGTGATTGCTTTTGGGGTAAACATGCAGCCAAAAGGAGACCCTCCGTGACTATGTCGCGCATCTTGTGGGCGGCCAGAAAAATCCGTAGAAAGGTGAACAGTGAAAATTATTGATTTGAGTCCCTTTTTCTGCGCAACTTTGTGCTGCAGAACCCCAAATGCTGAGGGGCTCAATTCCTCGCAGAGGGCCTAAACTCAACCTCAAGTGGAAGTGGCAGGTCAGTTGATGGGTAGCTTTTGGACTTTTCCCGAAAGCGGGTTTGCATAGTTTTAAAGAAACGGCTGGGGCTCGATTCCTGCCTTGTCCGGGCTAAATTGATTTGCCACAAGCTGCCATTGGCAAACGGTGCCAGCTTTTGGTTTGCCCTCCCTCTATTCGGGGAGATCATAGGCGGGAAATAACAAGTCCTGACTCTTTCTGACCCATCCACTCAAGAACGTGAGTGAGTCACAGGATTGTTTGCAGATTAATCTTGATCACGGCTCAGGCCTGCTGTCGTTCATGACAATAACCGCTGGATCAGCCACATGTTTTTTTCGACCCTTGCTATCCTCCTGCTGGGCATTGTCTCTCGAGTATTGATTATGTATTGTTGGGCTTTTGTGGCGTCAGGGGCACCAAGCGGGGACGTCGGATGTCTTGGATGTATCTGTGTGTGTGTGAGTGGTTTTAGGTAGGCTCGTCTCACGAGGTTTAATTGGGACTCACATGTTCCCTCATGGCTTTGAACACGAGCGGGAAGGCCGGTAGATGCGAAGAGAATGTCCAGACAGTGCAAGAGAGAGCAAAATACGTCACACTTCACCTGTTGCGTGAGTGCCCTGTGTGCCAAGCAGGCGTGTGCTGGTTGATTTCTGGCCCATGCGTTGGTTTCGAGGAGAGTTTGATGAATGTGCTTATGTGGACTCATTCGGTGGAACGAGCTCATCCACGATGAACTTAGCACTTGCTTCAGAAACCCTGTGGCGCGTGCGCATTCAGACACAACCCGGAAGAGTTGTATCTTAATCCGCTAGCTTCCCACCAACAAACATGGAAGTGCACAGGTCTGTTGTCCAAAGATTGTCTTCCAAAAGTGATGTTTGGTGGGAGGGTAGGTTGAATCTGCGGTCAGCCTTAACGTTAACTTCGGAGTACTTCCCTTTGGACCGTGCTCAGGAATGGCTCCCGGTTTCGAGAGAAACAAATCATTTCGGGTCGTGTGCGGGATTTGGAGGGTACCCTTTTGCTGGGTTGGTTTCTCTTTCAGACATCGCCATCCCACAAGCCGTCCCCAGGAGGTTCTGCAACAGCAGAGTGAGAGGCAGCAGGCGACCAAGCAGGCCTCGGAATTCCTGCAGATGGATGACACAATTCCCCGGTTCAGGAAGTTGACAAAAACCTCGCTGAGTTGGGGGAGAAAGAGGTGTCCACGCTTACCGCGCGATTTGGTTTATTCTGATACAGGCTATCTTGGTACCCTTTGAGGATTGTTGGGTGCTACCATGTGCTGGTGGCATGGCTCCTGCACAGATCATACAGTTTTTGACTGAAATAGTGCACAAGATTGAAAGGACAACCATTGAAGCAGCAGAAAACCTACAATGCCAATCCTTTGGAGAAGGAACAAGATGGACCTCTGCTACATCATTTATGGTTCATCCCTGCGAAGTAAACCTACCGCAAATGAGCCTGCCATCCTCATAGCTGACCAGAATGGAACCTGGGACTCTCCCGGCCCCATTTGTCCTTTTGGGGAACCTCCAAACGGAGCAGCGGTTTCCTCACTTTTTATTTTGAAGACCGGGCCCCCCCAAAAAGCACAAAGGCTCACCTCGACTGAGAAGCTCAATGACAACGAATGCATCCATTCGCTGTGGGTTCTCTGAGGTTAATGGCCCAAAAGTGTTGCACCGCTTGGCATGCCGCAATGACTTCAAAAAGAAGCGCGACCATGCATGACAATGTCCATGGCACGGTTGGTTCCACCTTGACCAACAAGAAGCCAATTCTGGCACTGACCAAACTGGTGAAATTTGAGTTTGACCCCATCCTTTCGCGGTCCAAAATAAAGCCGTGAGCTCGAAACCCCAAGCCCAACCCCCCCTCCATATGGCTCTGTCGTTTTTGAGGGTACCCTTTTCGGGCAGAAAAAAAGGACTCTTAACGGAAAACCCATCATTTTGGGCGGTCCACGTCCAAAAAAGACGAGCCCACCATGTGGTCACCAAAATCACCGGGTTCACAGGAGCCACCCACTTTGGTCACGGAAATCACCGGGATCGCTTGGCACCCGGCGCGCGAGGCCATCCTCCGCAGCTCTATGAAGTTCACCTCCGCGCTCAGCGCCGCCCAGCGCCTCTTCGGCACTCTGCCAGACGCGGCGGAGGCGCTGAACAAGGAGCTGGCCATGGGCGCCTCGGATTTTAAACGGAGCGTCTTCGGATTTTTGGACCGGATTGGGTTTCCCCAGTGGTTTCCTGAAAATAAGGAATTTGGAAAAAAGGGGGTAGCCGCAGAAAAAGACACACCTAGAGGAACGTGGAAAACGGAGACAAATAAGATTTGTAGAGGAAAGGCCTTGGTGGGAACCCTTTTTGGACGGAAGGACCCGCCATGGGGCCTGCGTTTTTTTTGAAACACTGCGGACTAAATGTTGCATGCTGCAATAGGGACGGGTCCTAAGCCATGCAAAAGCCTGAAAACAAAGGACACACACAAAGAAACATAACACAATCCTCACAGGCAATAGTGCGGCCTGCAAACAATTCTCAGAGGAAATGTTTTAAACTTAACAAGCACTCGCATTCACAAATGCCAATACTATAGTACCAGGGGCAACATACAACATTACACGTTGGCTCTCTTACCACATATTATTTTCAGACTAGGAGTTTGCTTGTGCGTCACGAACTCGTTTTGTGTCGACGCCTCAAGTCACAATTCACAAAAGCTATATATTATCATTATATTATCATGTTCAACAAATTCTGACGTGCTTGCTCGTTTGCTCTTTGCTCTCAAATTTGGCATGGCAACAATGGGTTGAGGCTCTCAGCTTGGTTCCTCTTTTGGCGCTTATCGCAAGGATTATCACTATAAGGGGTGTTCGATCATGTATGAATGCGTATTGCACACTATATGCACCGTTGTGGTTGACGCCTCTTCGTGTTTCTAGTCTACGGAGCTAGGTTTCTGTTTGTATAACTCTACTCTATCCATGCCAAGGTATGAGAAAATGCGCTTTCAAAAAGCACAGGCCCACGTCAGGCGCCACTCTCTTTTGGGAGTAAGCCGTTTCAGGGACATAGTTGTGGAAAATATGTTAATTGGGTTTTAGATTAACTTTCTTTGATCATAAGGCAAGCATGGACCAGGGTCTTAAGGATGCATCCAATCGCCCCTTCTTTTTTGTAGGGGGTCCTCTGAAGCATTGACTGGTGTATGTGCATTCTTTGACAGACTCTGGGAAGGTCAAGGTGTTTTGTGGCCTTGGTTGTAGAAAAATTGGAGTTTGGGTTGCCACTGTTTGTGATACCGTTACTTGTCACAAGGAAAGGGGGCGGGGCCGTCCTTGTGAGTGCCCCTGTTTGCTTTTGGGCCTGAGACATTTGAGAGGGCCTAAGTGTTGCAAAAAAAAGATCGAGAAGAGCTTGCCTTTTTGCACGGGCTGGTTCAAACTCCTTCGGGATGAAGGGGGAACGTTTCTGAGCCGGGATGCTCAGTCCACGATGCGCTCTTTGCGCTACTCTTTGGAACATCTAGTTGGACCCTTTGAAAGATAAGCAGATGTGTGAGTTTCAATGGTGACTCCTGCCAGGAGCGACTGTCATGGATCGATGGTACGCGCTGACCAACAAGCTACAGAAGCTTTACGACCAGCTGAGTCAGGCCGAGCATTTCAAACTGGCCGAGTTGTTCATAGATCCTGGCTGCCACCAAAATTTAGAATCAGAGGACAGCCACTTGCCCAGAAAAAGCAGCCATGGATCAACAATAGGGGGAGCGCCGAAGTGGTGGTTTGCCATCAGCATCGTGCAAGGGGGAAATAACAAAAACGGGCCCAGACCTAGCCTGAGCAGCGCGCCTTGGCATGTTGAAGCTTCGAACCCGGATGAACGTGGCAAAGTCAAAAGGGACATATGTACAGTACCAATGTTTGCTGAGGGGATACAGGGGCACCCACCCTGGTTTGTCAATCTGTTTCATTATTGTTTTATCATTGTTATCATCATGATTGCATTTTCACCCATATTAAACACTTCTAAGTTTGTAGTGAAGCTAAGTTGCCCCATGCTCATGGCGCTGACATGCGCCGAAGCTCAAGTGTGCCAGTCTAGATCGACCTGGGCAATGAACGCGCCTACCCTCTTTGTTTGCCAGCTGAACTGCGGGTGGTTGATAGGTCCGATAGGTTCTTGTTCTGATTCATGTCTTAAAAGACATTTTCGATTTCAACAGCAAAAGCACCTTCTGCTCCACTCTACAGTGTGTCCTCACGGGTTGATTCACTCTTTTGACACTCTTCGAAATTCATGGCTCGATTCATCCAAGAAGCGACCCTCCATGAGCAACCCAAGGTCATATTCTCGGCATCCGCACTCTTTATAGCTACAGAGGGGCCACGAAAGAAATGAGTGCTGTGGCAGATGCGGTGGACAGATGCATACAGCCTAAATACAACATGCAGGAAGCCTCCAAACAAACAAGCAAGCAAACAAATAAACAAACAAAGACCAACAAAAAAGCATCTCCCAGACAAAAGCTTGGGCATTGGGGCGTTCCCATCTGTCACGAAACGCATGCTTAAGCCGGATTTAGGTAAACACATGTTCAAATTCACAGTGAATACCGATTGGCTCAGGGGGCATTCCTTGAAGGGGACATATATATATATATATAGACATATATATATATTAATAGCACAATATTATTTGTCTTTTGAGCCCTCTTTGCGCAGGTTCTAGTCTATATTATTAATATTTCATGGCTTCTTTGCGGCTACAAGCTCGAAATCTGAAAAGACATATACAAGAGTGGGGAGGGCCAACTTGTAAATGTAAGATTCTGGCCTTAACTGTGAATGTGGTTGCTTTTTAGTTGTATTCTATCAAAAACGATATGTATAGCTAGATTTCAGGGATCACATACACGAATTCACGTGGGGTGCAGATCCTAGATGCGGAATTTGCCCTGATTAAATGGATGCCGCATCTTTGTGTTTGAAATCTCAGAGAGCTACTACTCCACCCATGCCAAGAGAAGACACAAACACACCTAAAATATTGGTGAATTGGACTGGGGTGCAAGTTGGTGCCGCTGATGTGTCTCAAACTAGTGGGAACCCATTTTGGACATCATCTAGAGGGAAACTGGAGCTGCTCACAACGCGGGAGGTGCAATCTAGAATCTTGAAGTGCCCTTTGATTCTTTCTGGGGGCTGAGGGTCCCAAGACTAAAAGAGAATTACTCAAATCCATGTTTGCCCTGACCTTGGCGCAAGGCTACCACCAAAGCCCAGCTGCAGGAGTGGATGACGCTAGAGGCTGGAACAGGGAAGGTTTGAGCCGCTGCCTGGGCCAAAACCGTAAAACAACCAAAGAGCACAAGGCCTTCTCTCGAGCCGTGCACTCTACATTCTATTGAGGGCTCCTTCTCTTCAGACAATTTGCCTCAGAACTAGGGGGGGAAGTAGATGGTTCTGAAAGAGAAGGGGGATCTTTAAGAAATGGGGAGTCGGTTCCCGTTTCGCACCAGGCGCTTTGGTCCAAGTCGGAACCTTGCGGGGGAAAACTGAGCCCGCTTCAACGGCACTGGCTGGGTGCGTTTCTGTCTGGCCAGTGACACTTCACGTGGGGACCCGTGGTTTGTAACCAAGTTTTCATGTGAGAAATCCCACCCGCTCCCCCCAGTAATGTATGGGAGGGGTGCGTGTTTTCTGGAGAGCATGTTGGGTTCGAAGGGGGCACGCTTTTCCCAGTTGTTGTACGTGTAGAACCGCCCCCTGTTGATTCTCCTTGACCATGGAAGCTGGTTATTGAAACATTCGCCCAACCTATTGGCAGCGCCCTCAAATGATCGCTTGTTCAACCACTCACGCGATGTTTTGTTGGTTGAAAAAGCCGGCGCCCAACCGGAGAACGTGGAAGCCACGTTAGTGTTTGGCAAGTTAGTGGTTAGCCACCTTGGTGAAAATCACCCAACAGCAGAAGGATGGATCGTTGTTCTTTTCGATTTGAGCTTTAACCTCTACCCTTTGGGGAAATGGCTGAATGATTCCCTACTGACTGGCAAAACGTGGCTGCTGTGTTGTGCAGGGCGCACTTGAATCAACCTCAGAAGCAAACTGGGGTTACTGCTTTGAGAATGATCTTTGTGGCGTTCCTAATGGAACTCAAGGAAACACACCTATATACTTATTGGGTGCGTTGGGAAACCTTAAGCGAAGCTCCGTTTGTTTTTGGGGAGGTCCGTGTTGACACGAACACACAACGTGCTGTTTCGCGCTTTTCGGTCCATGCTATGCATTGCGTTTTTGGGGGTTCCCATGACGCACACCTTGCGCATGAAGGTTCATCATGTATGAGGCAACACTTAAGGGTAAATGGGTTCGATTTGGAACACCTCGAAACCCCCAACCAACCACCAATGAGAGAAGAGCTGAATTTCAGCCTTCGGCGGCGAATTGCCAGGTGGGGCCGCCAAAGAGCGAGTCCGAGCGGCTAGCCAAGGAGAACTTGGAGAATGGCCGCGTGTCCCAGGGCGCACTGCTGGAGGCGCTGCACCAAATCCACAAATCGCCACCAATTGGTGCTTCCCAATTTTAGGATTCTATCCCGGAGGCGAGATGGTTTGTGTGGTTGGTTGGTTGGTTGGTAGGTCGGTCGGTCGGTCGGTCTCTCGGTTGGCCGGTTGTTTAGCTGGCTGGTTGGTCGTTTGGCTGGTGGGCCGCATGCCCAGCATCACCGGCCTCACATGAACCTGGCTGCGGCCTGGGAGAGTTGCTGGGGGCTGGTCTAGGGTAGGCTTTTGGGCTGGCTTACATCAGGGAAGCCAACTAGCAGGGATACAGGGAGAACCAGAGATACGGGAGGATTCCCCCTGGCACCTTGACTAAGTTTGATATTGGGAAATGGCGCCAAGGGAATCCCCCCATATCCCCGCTCCCTCCGTATCCCCGCTTGTTCGTTTGTCCAATTACATTTGTTCATTTAGGCTTGGCAAAGGGCATGAACCTGAAACCAACCCAAGACCCATCCTCATTAAGGTCTAACATTTTCTGATATTTTCTGCCCAAAAACCACCCTAAACCACCGCCGCCACAGCAGAGCCAGTATGCATGTGATGTGCAAAAAGCTAGACCTTGTTTTATAAAAGTACCCCTTTAAAAGCTGGGCTGGCAGTTGAAATGGGTCGCGCCCTTGTGGTGAGGTCATGAGGTTCCCTTTAAGCTGAGCAATAGCTGTTTTTCCTAGGTTTCCAGGGGTCCAAGGAATGTCCCGCAGAGTTCGGGGGATTTCCTTGGGTTCCTTTAGGTTCCATGGCCGCCTTTTGTGGTTCGATCCACCGTACCAGGTGCTGCAGGCGAGTAAGCTGAAGGATGTCAAGCCGCACTCGCGGCCCGGCGCGGCGGAGAAGTGCCAAGGGAGGAGCCAAAAGGAAACCAATCTGGAGGGGTCGAAACACCCTCAGTTGAAGTGAGGGGTGGTTCAAAACGGGACTCGTGAACCACCAATTTGGGCATATAGTGACTTAGGAAATTGGACGTTGCCCAAATGGAAGGATTATTTCACTGTCTTGGCTCCGTGTCCCAAACGATGAGAGGTTGTGCATGTTTTTGAGGGTACGCTTCTCACAAAATGCATGTCAGCCAGATACGGGGCTTAAGAGCATGGCCAGGCAACATGGAACCATTGGGGCCCTTGCACAGCGCCATTGCGGAGCGGTGAAAAGGGGTGGCGTTGCAGCAACACCCGTCACACATTCTGAGGACTAAAGAACTCGCTGAGTTGGCATTGCTTGCCCATGTTCTCATGCTTTGGAGGGAATGGGCATGACTCGACTGCTACATCTGGTATGTCTTGCGTTTTGCTCTTCCTCATTTTGGACCCCATGTGTTTGGCATGCGAGTCGATCCCACGCCTTGTGTTGCTTGAAGGCCACGAGACTAAGGCTCAGGCTGTGTCCAGGTTTGGCCGTGACAAACCAACATTCCCGCCGTTCCCCATTTACTGATCCATTCACTGGTTGCAATCAATACCTTGTAATTGCGTGCTGAGTTTCCTAATGTTCGATTGGTGAATGGCTTTGCGATTCACCCAGTTCATCCAGCTTCAAATCACCTTCAATTCCTGAGGTGATGCTTAAGACACATATCGCGAATGTTGTTAAAGATGCTTCCTTTTTATGGAGATTGGAGATGTAGCAACTAAAGAAAACATGCCAGGAATCCCTGTAGTACTCTTCTTGTTTGTGATTAACTATTTTGCTGCATACGTTGGGGTCAACGAAGAAAGGGAAACACCTCGGTGGGTGAGGAGCATCTCCCTGGGGCTGGCGACATGGGGCGCCGGCAGCTCGCAAACCACAACGCACACCCGAGAGCATCCGTACCTGCTGCGCCTGGCAGTGGCGCACTACCGCCAGCGCTTTGAGGCCCACGCTGGGGGCTGGTGGTGGCTGGAAGGGTGGGGGAGTTGGTGGGTTGGGGCCATCAAAATGCCCCAAAAAAAGTGCCTGGCTGGCATGATTTGTCCATGCTTGGGTTTATATATTCGAGTCGGTGGGGATGGGGTGGTTGAGAGGCTGTTGTGCTTTCGAGTCTGCAGCCTTTCTCCACAGACAGGGCTGCTAGACCTTTTCCCAACACGGGGAGTCAAACAAGAAGCAGCTCCCAAATCCCCACGAAGGGTCAAACTGTGGGGCCCTTGGCACCCCCTTTACAATTGGCGGCTTCGGCTGGGACCCGTCGCGAGTCGGCGAGACGGAGCCTTTCCAGGAGCCCATCACCAGCGTGGTGATCGCCCAGGACTTTGAGACGGATGAACACGTGGACAACAACGTGGGCACCTCCAAGGCCGGACTCAGTTCGTCAGTTGCCCCAAAACGCGCTCAGACCAGAAACGGGAAGGCAGAGTTTGGAAGAAGTTGAAGGCCCAAGGAGCCAGAGAGCAGTCTTGCCATGGGGTAGCACCGGAAGTTTCGGACGCTGGACGCACTGAAGCGCCAAGCGCCAAGCAAAGCAAGCTACATGGGCATCAACTTGTCAGCAAACCAGCGGTGTTCTGCGATTGATTGCAGCGCTTTGCTTGGCTCTTGCTTAGCAGCAGGTAAGCGCCTGCAACGTTCCGGATTTTCTGAGAAGACCTCATTGTTGCAGATCATTCCAGCACCCTCGTAAAGACACCAGTTCCCATGTTCAACTCTGTAGTCGTGTGTGTTCGACAGTACTCGAAAGCTTCAAGCTTGAGCAAAGTGCCGCAGTGAAGAAATTACAGAATTGCCCACATGCTCCTTGTTTTTTAATCCACATGTTCTTTCCAATTCAGAATGGGTTTCAATCCTTTTGGCGTGGTTTTAGGCTGAACATATTTCCGGACCCATCCTTCTCGTGGTTTTAGCCTTCGAGCCTTGCGGCTCGGATGCGTGGCCTTGTTGTCCGTCGGCTAGGTCATGGCGCTGGGGGACTTCACGGGAGGGAGGCTCTTTGTAGAGAAGGACGCCAAGCTGGACTCCCACGAGGCTCCGGATCCGCGGTTTTGACCAGAGCAAACCAGCCCTCAAAGTGCAACGTGTGCAAGAGCTATTGAATGCTATTGATATGTCAGGGACACGTTGCACTTTGAGGTTTGCTGCCAATAGAGATAGGACGGCTGGGCCCGGGGTGTCGGGGCGCAGGCAAGAACCAAGACTTAAGTTGGAGGCGATGCTTACCCAACAAGGTTGAAACGGCTGGGAGTATGCAAAGAAAGCCCCAGCCTCCCTTCCGGTGCTTCTACTCGTTGGTCAAATGTCCATGCCAATGTCCTTTGAGCGCGACGGATTTCCCGAAGTTCTCAGATGGCCAAAGGCCTCTTGCCATTCCTCCCGGGCACTTCTGATTGCGGCCTGGGTGGCCCACTGGGTGGCGAAATGGTTTCCCTCTCCAAACCCCCACAGCGTTGACGTGGTACGGGCACACCCCTGGAACAAGGGGATTGCGAATCTTGTGGGCAGAAGGAAAGGGTGGGCATGCCTCTTTCTCATAAATGAAGCCAGCTCATGCGTCACCAAAATCCGAGCGTTCCACCATGCACGCCACCGTGGTTGCCTGGCCATTTTTAAGAGTTCGCAATCACAGCGCTAGCTGAAAAAGGAAGCAAAGCTTCCTGTTGGTTTCCGATTAAACCCACCAAGAGGGGTTCCCGCAAAAACAAGAAACACCCATTTGTTCGTGAGCTGTTCTTTTCTGCCGTCCTCAGTCAAGAAAAAGGGGAACCGCATCGCTAGGAGGACCAGCCACACAGCTACAGGGCCAGCGAGGCCTTTAAGAAAGGCGGCCGGCCGTACGAGGACCGGCGCTGATGCCACAGCGAAGACAAGAGACTAACGTCGGATTCATCCGGATGGCCCTGCTAGTCAGGGAGAGTCGCCCTGTTTCTAAACGCCTCATTTAGAGCCCTTGCTTCAGGATCTGATTTTGCAATTTGCCCAGATGGATCGCAGGAGGGCGAGGAGGTGCAGGGCTACTACATCAAGACCCACGGGCTGCTCCGCGTTTTCAACGCTTACTACTTGCACTGGACGGAGCCCTTCCAGGCACGCGCGGGGCCGCTAGATAGTCACCGCCCCCATCCAGCTACCCAAGGAGGAGTGTGGTACACAGCAACCAATGCCGCAAGTGTGGCGGTTTGGGCCTAGCGGAAGCCATTTCAGATCCTCAAAGCATTCACTGCGTCGGCTCGCAGCAGATGGTTGTCAATGGTTTGGCACAATGTGAGGGCGCATGTTATTGACTCATGATATTGGTTCTGAAAATGCATTTCAAGGAAAACAGGGCGTGTGACTTGGACCATTAAGCTTGTAGAAGAGGAACCCCTGTCACTGCCACGAGCATTCTGAAAGAGGCAGATTATCATAGCATCCCCGCCCACGCTAGCACCGCCTTACTACGTGCCGCTTGCCTGATTCCTTGCAGAGTTGTACTTGATCCTAAATGCCCGCAGCCGCGGTTGAATTTTCCCATTCCGTTTTCAGGCTCTCGGGCATCAAACAGCCGCTAAGCAATCAATTGGCGTATGGGGAGGGCAACTGTAGAATCACGAAAGGGTGCCAGCGCTCCCTCCATTTGGCCAGATCGCATGCACTTCGGAGTAATTAATCAGTCATTCCAGCAAAAGCACGAGCAAACAATCCCGTTTAGGGCCAGGAAAGTCTTCACTAGTGCTGTGCTCCAGATGGGCTCAAGTTAATGTTGATGAGGCAAGCAGGGTCAAAGAACGATGTCTTCTCCGATACCTGACTTTGATTGATGAGGTTGAAACTCTTAGCATAATTTACACATATGTTTACATATTGATCCCCATATTGGTTCCAAGTCTGCCAGTTTATCCACTGTCGAGATTGCCTGCCACACCTCAAGCATGAGATCTCCAGTGACTGCGCTTTCCCTCGAAAACCCTGCCGAACATGTGTGCTGTTTGTCCTGGGTATCCTCGGCTGGTGGAGGCTTGGTCATTGCCTGGAAAGATTGGATATGTGCTGGCATCGAGGGTCCCTAAAGGCCTCTCTCCCTTCCCTCACCACCCAAAAGGGCTTGATGAGCTCTCATTGAAGACCCCGACCCCTTTTAAGCCACGCCCTGGGCGATGTTGTCTCAGAACCTGGCCATTTAAGGGGCATTAAATAAACCATTTTGTGGATGGACAAATTCCTGCACCAGTTGTTAGGTGGTGTATCATCAGATTCTCCCAGTGCTCATGGAGTTTCATCCATTCTATTTGGTGCGAAATGGATGTTGTCCATCTACTTTGCAGTCCTTCTGGTCTCTTGGTTCCGTCGCAAGCAGCATCAGCCAGGGTGGCCCGCGCTTCACCATCACCTACTACACCTCCCGGTCGGTGCTCACGTGCAAGGCATGCGGGGCAAACGTTCCAACCACCCGACGGCAGGCCTTCTTAAATGGGAAACGAACAGGAGGCTGTAAACACAACAGTGGGTTAGCCATATTGGAAATTGCTTGGCGCCCCTGGTTTATATGCCTCAAACATATACCCTTGTGTATCTCATGTGTTTGTCCGTATCCCCAATAATTTGGCTGACTTCAGGGAAGTACGCCCGTGAACGGAACCATATACGAAGAATGTATTCAAACAACTGTTTGAGGGCTCAACCACATGTCCTTGAGGCAAGTGGCCTGGCAGTGTATATGTCCACTACCTATATATTTGTTTTAGGGAGAGGGTACATATGCTTTCTACATATGTCAGGGGCACCGACTCCTTGGCTGGCTGAGCCCTCAGATAGCCGCCCTTGCAAGGAGATCGACCGTGTGAAGCTGGAAAAGGAGCTGAACTCGGCTGGCATGCGATGGCCGACGCAACAGCAGCTCAAGGCGTGCAAGGACACTCGGACACTCTCGTGGTTGGGTGCGGACAAGAAATAGTTTTTGAACATGGTACTCAATCAGGCACAAGCCTTCAAGCATCAAAGCTTTGATTCGAACCTTGCGTGTCGCAAAAGGCAGCCCCTTTTGTCATAAGCCAGTACTCGACCAGATCCAATACTCATTCAAGGGGTGCCATGGAAGGTCAGGAACGACTTGCTGTTTGAAGTCGCCTGGTTGAAAGTGAGTGTTTCCAACCACTGACCAACAAAGCTTGTTCGCATTTGCGTGGGGGGAGCCGCAGAGGCACATCTCCAGCACCATTGTCAGCAATAAGCCTGGAGGTTGTTTACCATTGGCACAAGCTGTCTATCCTTCTCTCGTTCCTCCAAGCAACTTGCCTGAAGCCCCGATCAAGCCCATGCAATTCGAGGGAATGCCCGACTCCCAGCAGGATGCACGCGCGAGCACCGTCGAGTACAAGAAGGCGCGCTGCCCACATGTTGCGCGCCTTCAAAAGAGCCCCTTTTGAAAGGCGACCCAAAACGTGAGTCCCGAACAAGGACCTGATTCCGAGTTGCCTGCCCCTCTACCAGCTTGCCACGTAATCAAGGTTAGGTCTCATGTTGTTTTCTGGTTCCCGTCCGTGTCACCCAAGAGGGACATGGTCCCAGTCAGGTTCCAGGGGACACTGGCTTGGACACCACAGGTGCCGAAATCCTGTGTCATTGGAAGCCGCCAGCAACACTTGTGCACTTGGAAGACATGCAGTGAAACTTGAAGACAATTTCAACGATGTCCACTCCAAAAAACAAAGAACTGGAACGGGTTGGGGTTCAGCGGGCCTTAGCTTTTGGTCTCCCAGGTGTGCTACCCCTCCAACATCCTGGCGTCGGTGGCTGCCAAGCCCCGCAAGGGCGCGGCCCAGGCGCAGCTGGCGGAGGATCCTGCACCAAGCGCCGGACAAAGTGTGGCCCGGCGAAGCGTGGGGAAAGGTGCTTGGGTTGGGCGTAGTCCTTCGTCTCACTTCCTGAGTTCCTGGACTTGAACCATTTTTGTGGTATAGATGAAAAGTGAGACCCCTTGTTTTCGAGTTGTTTCCTTTGCTTTGCTTTTAAGACATTTTTGAGACGACGCATTTCAGGAGAAAAGGCACACACCCACTTAGTGTGAGTCCCGAAGGTGTCAAGTGGATGTTTTTAAAATTAAGATGTCCAAACTGGTCGTTTTTCAAAGCTGGCCGCACAAGAATGGGGGTGGTTTTGTTTCGGTATCCTTAAAAAACACCCTTGCAAAGGAGGTCGACACGTTTTTATACGTATTTGGGCGCTATTGGGCGGCGCCCGGCGCAGCAAATCTAGGGAGTATTCTTGACGGGCTACGTAATTTTGGGCATCGCAATGGGTACAACGGCACCGGCCATTTGGCCTTTTTTGGTGGTGCTTTTGAATGTTCAGTCATGTCAGCTCAACAAGCTTTGCAGATTAATCAGCATGATGAACCCGACAACATCTCGTTTTTGAATGGTTTGAGCTTTTGGGGGAACCTCTGTTTGGGATCATGCTTAGGAGGCGAGTCTCTGAATTTCCACTTGTGGCGAAGGCTGGACGCTTGGCGAACGAGAGCCCTGCGGCTCTCATGCCGGCGATCGTGGAGGCAGCTTGGAGCTTCCCAAAGGGCGACCCCCCCATGCCCCCCAAGCAACCCCAAGCGCGTAACAAGCCAAGTTCGGGCAGGCCACTTAAGTCGTAGTTGGGGGGAGACTGTGGGCAGTCAACAGAGTTGCAAGTTTCCCAACAGCCGGCACTGAGAATTCCTTGAGCACCTCGAGCATCCAAAGCAAGCCTGGAAGGCTTGATATGTTTCCCCCTATTTTGTTTGACACCTTTTCAATGTTAGTACGTGTTGCGCATTTGCATTGTCGGTGCTGCTCATGCAGAGTGAGGGCTGCAAGGAGCATTCAGAGTTTGGCTTCAGTTGGCAGGTGTTCCCCTTTGTCGGCCCGAGTCGCCAGGACCCCGCCCCCTCCTACCCTTGCCTGCACTTTTGAGGCCTGATGTATACTTAATGGTTCAATTCATCCATCCCAACTGCTACAAGATGGATCTCCATCGCCCTGAGAGGCTCAACAGCTGTTGGCGGTGAACTCCAACTACAGAGGGGGCAACGGCACGGAGATGTGCCGCAAGCAGGCCTTGGGCTGAAGCTTCGAGCTGTAAGGGGTGGGCCTTTGGAACATTTTGGAACGTGAAACTGGGACCTCTGTGAGGTTCACTACACATGGATCTGCCTTTTTTGAGGCCAGAATCAATCACATTTTGTTGGGTTGGCAAAAGCTGAGGTAGATTAAGCCGTGGTGAAAAGGCACCTTTCTCTCTGGGTCTGGTTGCAGGTGCAGCAAACGGGTTTGTGTTTTTTCATGGTCCTTTGCCCGGGGACTGTGGGCTTTTGTTGCATTTCTCCCTTGTTCTACAATCAGTGTAAAGGCTTTTTGAAGACAACCATCAGCTGGACTGGCTGGTTTTCAAGGAGCGGAGCAGGGGGCGCCACCGCGGTAGTACATTGACCTCAAGGTTTAAGGTTCCCTACCCATTTCCAGTGAAGGGAGCCTCTAAATGTGTAGAACTCCCTTTTGCAATTGTCCGGGCCGTTGTCCATGGTCCTTTGACACTAGCCCCTATGCACGTGGGTTGAAATGGGTGTGTAGGGCTTTTTGGGTGGAGTGCCATTTGGATGTCCATTTCAAGGAGTCGTGCAGCTTTCTACTTTTGGGTGTTCATTTTTGTGACCTAATCATTGGTTGGAAAAAACTCAACGCGGCAAGGGAAGCCCACTTGACATTTTGACCGAAAAGGGCGCCGATGGGTTCAAATCCGGCGCTTGCCAGCAGTTGTGGGATATTAGGTGGCCAGTGGCCATGTTCTGTAGCAGACACGCAATATATACATATATATATATATATGCCTTAAAAAAGAGGAAAAGTGGGCGTGCGTGCTGCTGTTCTCCTTGACAAGATCCTTCAAAATGCACGCCCAAACAATACGTCTCAAAATTGAAGCAACCCTTGGCTCTTGCGCAGTTTGACCTTCAACCTTTCTTGCTTCGGCTGTGCGCACTTCCCTCTCACCAAAAGGGTGTGGCTTCGCTTCAGGCCAAGCTACTGCAGCGGAGGGTGGACATGCTCAATGACCAGCCCACCAAGCAATGGATCAACCTCCTGCCGCCGTCCTGCACTTCAGTTCACTCGGGACAACTTTTCACGGCTGTCACCTTTGGCTGGTTGAGTAAAACGCACGCACCTCGTGCTCACGCCACTTTCTGCAAGATAGCGTTGAGGGCTTTGTTCACGTGAAATGGTTATGTCTTCTCCACCTGGGGCCTTGAAGTTGGAATAGTCCGTCCACGTTTTTGTGTGAAATTGCCTTCATTCTTCTTCGCCAAGGTAACGGCTTCCTGGCACAGTTGGATGAAAAATATGGGGGCAAAGCTGAATTTAAGTTGAGCACAACCAACGCCTTCCATGTGTGCTTGTGGTTCCCGAATGCGAACTGGCTTTCAGTTGGGCTGCCGTGGCTGCCCAAAAATTGGAATTCTGCTGAATTCGGCTGGAACCTACCAGGCAACCCTGTGCTAAGTGCCAGCTCCATTCGTCCACCAGAAAAAATGCCCCTACAAAGCAGTAGACACTTGCCTGAATCCGTCCACACCCGAAATCCACCCCTTGATGGAGATGTTGGACATGGAGGCAAAAAGACCATCAACCTTGTTTAAAGGCTTTCGATTATCTGTTAACATTTCTTCAATTTCATCTAGACGTTGACCAAACTGAACAGTAAAGGCAAAAATATCGTCAATAAGACCGAGACTTACGTCTTGACTAACCCCCCCAGGACGAAAATAGCTAGCATGCATACGAGCACAACTAACCCTTTCATACAATTCCATCATTTTTTCTCTTTCTTCGAAAGCCCATAAAAAAAAAGGAGTCATTGCTCCAACATCCATAGCGTGACAACCAACAGCTAACAAATGATTTAAAATTTACAAGTCTAGTAATTTCTGCAAATAATACTTTAATATACTGAGCACGTTTTGGTATTGATATTTGCAATAAATTTTCAACAGCTAAAGCATAAGTGTGCTCTTGACACATCATTGAAACATAATCTAACCTATCAAAGTACGGTAAAGCTTGAAAATAGGTTTTAGCCTCAATTACTTCTCTGTACCTCTTTGCTAGGCACTGTTTTGAAACATGCCTTCAATGCCTTAAAATGGGTCCTCAAAGAGATTCTGTTGTTTTTCACCTGAGGTTAACGGAGATGCTGATCCCCGCCGGAAGGAAGAAGGAGGCCGGCACCTTTATGGCCAAAACCCCAGGTGCCTCGGCATGCCCCCGGCCACCGAGGTTTGGCGCAAGGGACCTCAATTCTTCTCTTCTTGGTTGGAGTCTGGGCAACTTCTACCGAGCTCATTTGGGATTCAATAAGCTCACCATGATGCAGGTTCCTTGCATGGAGATTCCATATTTCCCGTTTGTTGTTTTTCAGCTATAGTAACTTGGCCGGATGGAGTTAGCTCCTGAGCGCGCTGCACTGCCTGTAGATAAAGCTTGGCCATGCTCAGCTTTCATATTGCTCCCCAGCGAGAGCGGTCTTGGGGTGAGAAAAGCGGATCCTGGGAATACTTGGGCTGATGCTCGTGGCATTCTCCGACCTGAGAAGTTGCTGCTTTCCCCGCTTTCCCATTGCATGGGAGAGCACGAGACACCCGGCTCTAAAAAAACAGGTTTGTGTCCACATGTCTGTGTTTTCCTCTTAAATTTCGATTTGGATGCTGGTCACTTGTAGCAAAGAGTGCTGTTTCAAATCTCCTGCAGGCGTGCATCAGATTCGTCCCCCCCCCTCCCTCAGTTAGACATAGCCTCTCCCGTCCAGATGGGAGCATCCTGGCCCTGTACCCCTCCCTACACTTTTGAGCACTTTTTAAACACACATACCAAATCACCCCATTTTCAACCTCCAAATTGAAACACCTACTAAGTTAATCATGAGAAAAATCAGTATTCTCATCATCAACTTCATTTTTCGCCTAATTTGTCCAACCTTTAACCCAACCCTTACACTCATTCAATAACAACAATCATAACTACATACCACCTCAACAAATCCCGCCAAAAAAATCAATCCACATACCAACATTTTTCCATCCTCAACTTCCAACCATCAAAATATCATTTTTCCACTCCATGATCCAAACTGCAACCCTTAACCAAAACGAATAAATTCAAACTGTCTAATAAACAAAGGCATTTTTCAATCAATTCTCGCCCTCAAGTTGGTTAACCATTAGAAAAATGAAATATTCTAATCGTCAACCTAGTCTAGTTATTTTCCAGTAGCTTTTCCTTGTGGCCTTGCGTCGCCTCATGTTGCCTCATCTTGTATTTGGTAATCTCAACTCCGCACAGTGGACATTGCACTTTTTCTCTGTTGGCTTCCCTGTAATTCTTGTTATACTCCTTGTTCTTCTCAACTGTTCGTTTGCGGTAGTCCCGCTTTTGATCAACACAAGCGTCGCATGACTTCAATCCATACACAAATTCTTCCATTCCCCTTTCACTCCTGCATCTCGTACACATCTTCTTCTCCATGTTTTAGTAAGTAGCCTTTTCTTTAAATAGGAATGTCCAAGGTTCGGCCGCCAAAACAACCCTATGTTCGCCCCGAAAAATGGTTAACCAATGGAAAAGGGAGAATTAAAACCGTTAACCCAAATCTTGAAAACAATCCCAGTAAAATATGGATGGCAAAATGCGGATGGGAGAGGCCTATGTAGGAAAGCACCCCCACGGCTTATACATGAAAATTACACTATAATTATAACATATAAATTTTTACATGTTATAATTATACTATGGTTTTAATCATCATCATCTCTGTATTCAAGTAATTTAAATTCTGGACATTCTACAAATTTAGTGTTATGTGCAAAGCACCTTCTACAATATTCATTGTCGTAGATGTATTTAACAACTTTATTAAAGTCTCTGATCATATTATTGTAATTAAATTTTGTTCCTTCGCAACAATAAGCTATTCTGTTAACATCGTTATTGTAAATGCCTCTATATATGTTTCTTAATATGCTTATCTTGTCAAACGAGAACTTGAATTCTACTTTCAAGTCTTGTTTGTCAGGAAAACTATGACAGCGAGAGAATAAGTAAATATATTCATTTATGGCTGTTCCTCTTTCGGGGTTTTTAACTGCCATTTTTCTCCTTCTCACTGACTTGCACCCCTCGCATTCTTCATAGTTAAATTTACACATGTTATTGATGATATTACTTGGCAAGTTTAACTTACTTAACTCAACTTTCTCGTCATTTAACTTACAATAGCAGTCAGCAACACGTTTATCAAATATGTTTAGCATGTCATTTGTATAGATCTTATTTAAGAATTCATTCATAATTTCCTCTTGTTCAATCTCAGTAAATACTACCATTCTGATGCTAACGTATATAGGTAATATTTCTTTAAATACATTTTCAGAGAAATTATAATTTATAGAAATATTTTTACCACTATAATTACAACATATAAGATTTTACATGTTGTAATTATAGCAAAACTATGGTATCAAAGGCTTTAACCTATGTATTTCCAGGGGTTGTATTCGTTTCTTCTGTTCCTTCCTTAACTCTTTTGTTGCTTTTACTTTGTCTCTGCATTCCTTACATGTTTTGTAAAATATCTCTTCCATTTTAATTCTATCATACATTTTGTGAAAGTCCTTTCTTGGCTTTGCTTCGTCGCATTTACTGCAAGGATAAACCATTGTGCATCCTGTTTCTTCTTCATCATCTGTAGAACTCATAATATTAGTTATGCCAATATGTCTTTAAACGGATTTTCAGAGAAACATGTTTTTAATCAAGAATAAACCCCTGTATCTTCATCATAGTCAATTTGATAAAATGTCATAGTTGAAGCCTTCGGTTCTTTAATTTCTTTGTTATTAAGTTTGTTTAAATAAATATTTCTTTTATTTTTATATTCACCATTGGTTCGATCTACATCTTTACTTTGATAACTGTTTGTTAACGGTTTCTTCTTTTCCATTTCTTGTAAGATTTCTAAAATATTCTTATTCTGTTCTAAAACCTTGTTCAGTTTTTTAACCATCTTTTCTAATCCTTCATCCATGTAAATATATATATTATATTATAAAATAAAACTTTTAAAACTAAATGTTTAAATTATGTTAAACCTACTCTTTAAATACTAATTTTTCATCATTTGTTTAACAGTTTCCTGAGTTTCCTTATCGCCATTATCGGATGGCGATGCATGTCTCCCCCATTTGATAGCAATATTATGAACATCTGTTTCTAAGTTGATACTGTCTTTAGTTTTATCAATATTCATTTTCTTATCATTTCTACTTATTTTGAAACTGGCTGGAATACACGAACATTTACAGTTTCCTTTCTTTTGTATTTCTAATTCATTTTTCATTTCTAATATTCTTTTACACATTGGACAAGCAAACTCAATAACTGATGTCTCTTTAACAACTTCTTCTTTTTCTTCATCAGTTGAAGAAACAACTGGTTCAGTCTTATTCTTTTTCTTTCTTCCCATTTATATTAATATTTACATTTTTATTTTTGATATATTGTATCATAAACTTAATTATTTCTAAAACAAAATAGCATATTTTCTTGCATCTATTATCAGTTATAACAACTTGTTCTAAATTCTCTACTTCATCTATTATATCAATATAATCTGAATAGCTTCTATTCATATAAAATAATAAATATAAAATATTTTCTAAATAACTTTAATATTATTTTATTATGTCAGATGTTCCAATAATAAAGCCAATAAACATAACTGAATATGAATTCAAACAATCTAAATATGAGCACGTGCCAAAATTACCATTTAGAAGTATTATAGTTGCTTCTTCGACAGGTGGCAAAACAGTATTGGTTCAGAACCTTATCTTAAATGTTTATAGAAATTCATTTGCAAGAATATTTATATTTTCCCCCAGCGTTCATAATGACCCAACTTTTACAGAAGTAAAGAAATATATTAGGGATGAACTACATGTAGATGATGAAAAAGAACAAATCTATTTTGATAATTATAATCCAAGTGATTTAGAAAATGTAATCGAAAGACAGAAGAAAATAATTAATTATATGAAATCTAAAAAAATAAAGAAACTACATTCAATATTAATCGTTATAGACGATCATGCCGACGATCCTAAATTTGTTAGATATAGTAAATTATTACATGGATTATTTACAAGAGGCAGGCACGATGCAGTAAGTGTGATTTGTTCAACACAGAAATATAATGTGTTGGCGCCTATCATTCGTTTAAATGCCAGTTCATTATATATTTTTAGGTTGAAAAATGCCAGTGAATTAATGAGTTTTATTGAAGAAAATAGCGCCATTGTTGACAAACAGCAATTATTAGATATGTATCATCAAGCCGTTAATTTTGCTCCATATTCTTTTTTCTACGTGAATATGAATTCAAAAGACATTAACAAAATGTTTCATATCAATTTTGAACAGGCATTTCAAATTACAAATGATGAATAAAGAAATTCTCATTTAATATAATATAATAATATGCTAATGAAACTATGTAGATGTGGTGGATTTTATCGTAGAGGTAATTACAATTTTCATACTAATTCTTGGATACATAAACTTTATAAAGTGTTAAAAAGACGACCAACAGACGAGGAATTATTAAGATTTCAAAATAACTTTGTTGATGAAGAAGATTTAATAGATGATATGTGTAGCAATGCCTCAACAAAATTACCAGAAGATGAAATGACAGATTATGATAGTAATTAATAATATTAATGTATGTTAATATTATCAATTTAGAATAAGGAATAGCTACATAAATTTAAGGCAGGAAATTTATAATATGTTTTATCTTTTTTACATTCATTAACTTTTTCTAATTTATTTATTATTGCTTTCAATGAATTTATTTGTAGAATATCAATTCTTGACATTTCACTTATCGTATTTACATCTATATCTTTTATTACTTTAATAGCCTCTTCATCATCAATTTCTACTGGTTTTGATTTACTTGAACCCATTATATATAATATTATTTAGATTTTAATTTTTCAAAATTATATTTTTGTTTTTCTTCTCCGTCTTCTTCTTCTTCGTCTTCAGTTGGTGCTGGTATTTCTGTTGGACTTTCAGATGAAGAACTATGAACAGTAATAGGTGGAGAACTATGAACACTAACAATTTCATTAGAAGAACTACTGCTACCTTGTGCATATCCTGCTGTTATTTGATTAACTAAATCTGCGAT